AAAGCTATCTGATTACAAGATTTTATTGTCAAATTAAATAATGATCCAATGTGATTCTATACAAATGTGAACTTCTGTTTCAAGTACATTAAAAGTACCTACTTATATCTTGATTCAGTGCCACCTAATCCTATGGGCGAGGTAGGCACAATAATAAAGGCCTACGAAGGATAATTAACTTTGAAATAAGTTAAAATTTGGGACCAAGGTCTTTAGAAATTTTTAAAAAGTTATCTGATCCCTGGCTTTATCCTGGAGTTAAACTAATGAGAAATGAGGTCAGATGGATATATATTTATACATCCTCATATATATATATATATATATATATATATATATATATATATATATATATATATATATATATACATATATATATATATATATATATATATATATATATATATATATATATATATATATATGAGGCAGGGCAGGGCGAGATCATCCCCACATTACTGGTTCAATTCAACAGTGGCCTACAAACGTCTTCAAACGTGCCTCAGAGGAATGAATGGCTGCATAAAACAAATAAAGAAAGAAATAAGTTTACTGTAAAGTTGAAGGAAATTTTATTGCACAGATGAAGGACATTTTAAAAAGCTTGTTACATTAATTGGATTCTGCAATTAAATAAGATTTTAAAATAATGAAGTGAAATGGAGTTTCTTGTTAATCTCAAAATGAACATAAATAACTCTTTATTTTGTTGTGTATCAAATAAAATATTTTGTAAAGTAATTCTAAAAACCGGGTTCAAAATTAAAGATAAATCTTTATTTTATTTTTTTTTAAATTAAATAAAAAATCAAATAAAGAATTAAAGAAGCATATAGGAAAGAACTGCTTTAATGTTTTGCAATGAAGACTGCTTGTAACTTTGATCAGTTGTCTGTGATATGGAATGAGTTCTTAGTTTCCAAAGGAAATCTTGTACTTATGATAATGTATTATATCTGTATATAGGCCTACAAGGAAAGTTAATAAAGATGTTAAAATAATTTAACTCGTCGGAGTAGTTAAACATATTGAAATAAAAATTGTACTGCAATTTTATTTACTTTTATCTAAAAAAATATGTGATGTCCACATTTTAATTGATGCTTATTTAATCTATATGTTCATATCTATAATAAGTATTAAAAGAATAACAGATTATAACAGGTCAGTAACAAGCTAAACCATGTCTGAAAGATGGTTGGATGCTAATTTAAACTGGAATAATTAAACACTCACTCTTTAGTATTGAGGTGATGAAGTCTTAATATTAAAAAAAAAATAATAAGCCTGCAAACACAAAAACTAATTTTTATGACTGTGATACTGTGATACTTTTTTATTTATTGAGTACCTGCAACTGTTCACAGAAGTTCTTGGGGACAAATGTTTGTCACTGTGTATTGTCACGGATAACTCTGATGTACATCAATATGACTTAAGATTCATATTCTTATTAGTTAAACATATTAAGCCATTGACACATTCTATGATTATCCTTTAACATTGTTATAACAATAAATTAACCTTTTTTTTTTTATGCCAGCATATTATTGTGTTTTTATTGCTTTAATTCAAAATACACATAAGAAGTAACAAATCAAAATTAAATCTATTATTTTTAAAATAGTTTTTATCATTTTTAATTAATTTAATCCTTGAACTTGAACAGTTAGTCAAGCAGATAGTATTCATTTAGGCAATTGATTAAACTCAAATAATTATAATGATGGTGTTACAAAAATTATTCTTATTTTCAAAACAAAACAAAATTATAATATATTGGATTATCTTTCTATTGAATATCCAGAAAATAACTTAACATCCAGATTAACATGGGCAAAAAGCTCTGCTACTGAAAGCTTCAAGGCTGCCCTGTCATCTGCTAGGAGCTGTTACAATAGCAACATCGCCCCCACCCTTTATTGCACGCCACAGTTAAAACATATTTTTTAATTTTTTAAAATTGTTATAAAATTAACATTAAATTAAAATTCAATCTAAACTATTAAAATTGAACACTACTAAGTGACATCTTCTTTCAGAATACATCCAAACACAACAGGAAGTTGAAAATCACGGTCAATTTTAGATTTTATATGTATGATTTAATATACAAAAAAAATGACATGTGTATGAGTCACATTATAATCTACACCCCCCCCAAACCGGTCACAAACTGTCACACTTTCTTAGAATGAAACTCTGATTGCAGACATCTCCTAATTTGCAGCTACAAACAAACCCATGATAAAAGGCTAAGGGGGATAAGATTCAAAATTAGGTGGTATGACATTGATAAGCTGTAACACCCTGTCATTTCACTTGGGTTCAACAGCTGCGCGGAGAGTGGCAATCTGCCGATTGGGAACTAGATCATTCTCCATTAAAAATTCCCAGGTCTTGTGTGATTTCTTCCAGTGAAATCCATTCCATCGTATCCTTAAAAAAGGGTGCAAAAAAAAAAAAACAAAAAAAAAAAAAAAAAAAACTAACAAAATCCATTAACTTAATTTTTTTTTTTTAATTTTCGAAATGGTCAATCCTTACAAGGATTGTCTGCCATAAACGTTACGCTATTGTTGACCCCCCCCTTCCCGTAACAAATCTTGCCCCCACCCTTTATTGCACGCCACAGTTAAAACATATTTTTTAATTTTTTTAAATTGTTATAAAATTAACATTAAATTAAAATTCAATCTAAAACTGTTAAAATTGAACACTACTAAGTGACATCTTCTTTCAGAATACATCCAAACACAACAGGAAGTTGAAAATCACGGTCAATTTTAGATTTTATATGTATGATTTAAAATACAAAAAAAAATGACATGTGTATGAGTCACATATGATCTACACCCCCCCCCCAAACCGGTCACAAACTGTCACACTTTCTTAGACCCCTCCCCCCCAACCTCCCGAAAGTGACGTACTTTATGGACGACCCCTTAGGCCTAATAATAGAATAGGAATTTTGTGCAAACGTTCATATGTCCTTGTGAATGAAAACTACTCAAACCATTTATTGCCATATGTGGAATCCTCTAATTACAATGTAAACGGCTTAATATCATCTTGAAAAAAAAATACTTCATGTTCAGTTTGGTGTTATTAGAGCACGTCTTCCAAATGTGCCATCTCACGTAGAAGGGAATTTTAAAATAACTTCGTTCTAACATTTTAGCAGAAAAAAATTATTTGAACAATAAAAAATAAATGTTCTTTTAATATTTTTTCGGTGATAGAATAATGCTAAAGACTTAAAATATGATTAAATCCTCCTTTTGAATTATTATTTGAGGAGCCAAGAAACTTGCCTCTTTAATTTAATTTTCTCAGATTTATATATATATATATGTGTGTGTGTGTGTGTGTGTGTGCGTGCGTGCGTGCGTGCGTGTGTGTGTGTGTGTTTTAAAAAGCGAAAATGAATAGACTACCAGATGCGTAGTCATGGGCGCCCGCAGGGGGGCAAGGGGGGCACTTTCCCACTCCTGGATTGATTGGATAAAAAAAAATTTAGACAAAAATAGACAAAAAATGTATTAAAGTAAAGAGAAAGTAAAGAGAATGTAACTAAGCTGATGTCCTGTCCGTTCGTTCACCACACAAATACGCTACAGTAAATTAAAACTAGGCTACATTAAAAGTTACTAAAAAATTTTTGCTCCCCCCCCCCCTGGAAAGTTAATCGATTTTTTTGCTCCCCTAGAAAGTTTTCTGCGGGCACCCATGTGCGTAGCTAAGGGGGTAAAACCCTATATAGGGGCGCCGAAATGTGCTTTGATATTATTTTATTTATGAAAATAATGGGTTTGAGAGTTGAAAAAAAAAAAAAAGAATGTGAGGTGCTTTAAAATCAATCATATGGCAGATATCGAGTTTCATTTTGCAACAATTATTACCGGTACATGATAACTAACAGAGTGGCGTGGGTAGGGGGGCTTCCGCCATGGCGGCATTTAAATATTTTTATTTAGGAGCGGCATTTTTGGCCAACTGCAGAGGTTTTTCTTCATAGTATTTAGGGGGTGGGAAAAAATTACAACCCCCCCCCCCCAAAAAAAAACAACCCTACCTAACTACGCCACTGGTTGCTACGTCACTCTCCCTAAAATCCTTTTACGTTGAACGACACCACCATAGACTTATTAGGATTATTTATAATAGAGCATATTTAGGAGCGGCATTTTTGGCCAAATGCAGAGGTTTTTCTTCATAGTATTTAGGGGGTGGGAAAAAATTACACCCCCCCCCCCCAAAAAAAAACAACCCTACCTAACTACGCCACTGGTTGCTACGTCACTCTCCCTAAAATCCTTTTACGTTGAACGACACCACCATAGACTTATTAGGATTATTTATAATAGAGCTCTTTATGCCCCTCCCTAAGCCCGAATATTGGGCCGCGAAGCGGCACGTTGGAGATCTCCCTTTGCTAAGACAGCCCCCACCCGCTCGATCGGGTTCACCAATGGGGGTCCCTCTAGCCCAAGGACATCCAGTCGGCCCGACACTGCTTACGCAGAGGGTCGGGATGGTATATTTACGTCTTAAAATCTTTACCCTCCCATCCTTGGGGAGAATCAGACTCCCACTAATAGGGATTTCTACAGTGGGTTTCTATCTCGAAAGTAATTTTTGAAGCAGCTGGGTCGAAACGACAGCATAGGAACAGGTTTCTCAATGCTGTGCTAATAACGGTTGAAATAAACTTAAAGAACTCAATTAATTGACGTGTCATATGACGTATGCCCATTTTATTTATGCAGCAATCTTATTATTAACTAGTAAAAAAAAATCCTCATCTAGTTTTATTTTTAAGGCAATTATGGGGTTGGGGGCGTTTTGAACCTGCGTGATTTAAATAAATCTTGTTCCACAATTTTTTAATTAATTTTTTTTTAAAAGAAAGGATTTTCTTTTAGATACATATGTTTGTTTCTTTATAAATTATTTATTCTTTCATTTTAAAATTGGCAGGAAGTAGAGTTGCGTGTCAATAATGCGCATGCAATATCCAACATGGCGGACAGCAACAAAAAGGAAAAAATAGCAGCTGCAAAGAAAAAAGTTCGTGCAAAAGAAGTATTTTATACATAGATGTTTGAACTGTATAACTGAAATAATGCATTAAGATTATTTCCAATAAACTATATATTTGTTTAAATGTAACATAGTTTATAAACACGCTTTTGTCAGTTCCTTTGTTTTGTTTACTTTACTTGTGACTTTTGATTTAAAGCAAAAAAATAAAAAAATGCCGAAGTCTCAGTCTGTATTCCTAAATTAACCTGAACCCTAAAATGTAGGTTATCCCTAAACCTAACCTGAATCCTAAATGTAAATGTATCCCTAATGGCACCAATTCTCTGCATAATATTGGCCAATTTGGAGAGATAGCACCCTGAAGTCATTTGCATGTTTTGTTAAGTTTCTGTTTTTGATTCACTCCCCTTATTTTTTTAAAAATAGAGTTACATTTTCATTAATATAAGGCTGGTAAATTTTTATTGGTTGATTAATTTCAATTTTACATTTCATTGGTTTGCGAATTTTAATATTATTTATGTGTTCCGCTATCTTTGAAAATTACCGTATGGTGTTTCATTCATTTTCTGGATATTATTTTCGATGAAACCTGAAATAAAGTGTTAAGTGTGGGGAACCTGAAATAAAGGGTGTAAATGTGTATTCCATGAAACTGTAAGTTGGGTTTTCATTTTTAAAAATTTTATAATTATATTTGGCCTTGGCCATTTTTTGTTGTTTTTCTTCATTTTCCAAGTTTTCAGGGTCAAAACGCTGGTTCCAATAGGGTCAAAACCCTGGTTCTGATAGTTTTGGTAGGGTCAAAACCCTGGTTCCGATAGTCTATAGTGTCTTAGGATACATTTAGGACGTTTTTTTTTTCCATTAATTTTTAACGTTTTCTTCCTAATTTTATCTAATGTGAGTTATTTTATTTTTCCACGGTCGCCATCTTGGTTGCTGCAACCCATGAACACATAAAATTTCACAGGTCATGGCGGCCATGATAAAAAACGCGGCGCCGTCTCTCCAAATTTACCAGTAACTCATAGGTACTTCGGCAAAAAAAATTCAAAAAAAAAAAAAAAAAATTAAAATATTAGTTATTTTTTATATAGAGCAAACTTCAAATAAAATTGAAACCAGAATCAACTTTCTAGTTTTTGCACTATTTAAGCTATAAATTTTTTAAATGCAGTTTTGTTTGGTATTTTTTACCTTTTAAATTTTCAAACACATCTGACATTTGTGACCCCATTCTGCTGATCGCGTCACACGCTATAACTCTGGTCTCTGGTTTCAATGACAATTTTCAACAACTTTGATTTTTATGATTAATCATTGCCAAGTATGAAAAGTACTAATTTTAAAATATTATGCAATTGAATTATTAATAAATTATAATTTATCCAGCCATATAATGCATTATTACATTAAATAAGATATGGATGCTCTGTTTAGTGTCCATTTTATATTTATATAATAGTCTATGTAAGGCAAGACATCCCCTAAAAATAAAACTGGTTTGGGACTGCCTATTTTGAACTTTTAACTTTTGCACATGACTAGTTAATTAAAGCTTTCTTTGACCAATGATTTGATAGTGTTTGCACACAGCACATTCATTATCTTATGAATGAAACTATTAGAGTAGTACTATAGTAGTATGAGACATGCAAGGACTGTAAATGGTTTCCCATGACAACGTTTTGCACACAGCAAATTATGATAATTTATAATATGGACTTCAACGGGTTTTTAAACTTCAAATTAAAACAATCTTTTTTAAATTACTTCTAGATTCATTCTAAAACACAAGTTATCAAATATTTTGATGTAAATAATGATAATAATTAAATATTTTCTAGTTATCGCCATATACTGCCATTAAAACGAGGGCTTGGCCCATGCCATGATCGAAATCAGACTTAACGACCTTATGGTAATGCAGGTCACGGGGCAAGCACTACGAACATGAGACACAACCTATATCAATGAGAAGTTGCACACATATGCATCAATATATAATGCTTTTTTAAATTACTTTGAGGTTCATTCTAAAACACAAGTTATCAAATATTTTGGTATTTTGATGTAAATAAAGGTAATAATTGAATATTTTCTAGGTATCTGCATATACCACCATTAAAAGGGGGCCATGGCCAATGCCATGGTCGAAATCAGGCTTAGGGACCTTATGGTTATGCAGGTCGATTATTACAGTCGATCAAAGAAGGGAAAACAATATGTTGGCAGTTGGAATGTAGGTCAAAATGTCCCCTATTATGAACATGTGGAAGGATACCACAATTTTATGGCGAAATAGGCCTTTCATTAATGAAAGCACCATCGTCCAAAAATTAAAAACTTGTATTCTTTTGCGCTGACTCCCATTTCCCATACAAACTTGGATACAATTTTGTAAATAGTATATTATGTATGATTTATTTACAGCTGAAGCAGTTTCAAAATTCAGGTAGAGCTCGCAGTGTTTCAAGAACAAGGGAATCTTCTGAAAGGGAAATTTCTAAAGAACCTGTTGAAAAATTAGTGCGGACAGTTTCACCGCCAATAGAAGTCAGTAACTTAATGTGTCCCTTTAAATGTAAAAAACACTTCTAACAATTAGTTCACTGAAAACTTATTTGAATTAAATTTTAATTTACCTAGTCCACTTATGACCTGTGTGTGTGTGTGTGTAATTAGAATTCTTAAATTTAAGTGAGAAATGTATTACCTAAATTGCTAAAATACAAATTGCTGGCTAAATTATATTGAAAAATATTTTTGTTTGTTTGAGTGCAGTTTATTTGTGATTTGTGAAAAATTTCTGGTCTTGACTTTTCTTTCAGAATCAAAACTCCTCAAGCAGGAGGGCAGCAAGGGATCTAGAAATAAGAAAAAATGATGCAGAGAACAATATAAGGTTATTATCAGGGAACAACCGGAAATCACCTCGGACATTCGCCCGGCCGAATATCCCAATTCTTTTCTTGAAGTATTTGTTTCAGCTCAGCAAATACTATTATTACCACCAATGCGGATCCGAATATTTATTTGAAAATTAAATTTTTAGAGATGCTCAATAAATTTGCTAATTTAAATAGGCGGATTGAAGTTCATTTCCCATCAAATCCCAGAAAGAAAAAACCATTAGCTACTTAACACTAACTTTATATCCACAAAATATAACTTTAGCATCGCATGCATTCTTTTATGTTTCCATCCTTTTAAGTACTTTTAAAGCTAGATTTTTTTCAGATTTTGAGGCTTATTTGCACTGATCAATAGTAATTTTTTTTAAATGGATTCAGATGATGAAGTTTATAGCAATTTAGATGTTATTATAATTAATCAGTGAATTATGCTAGCTGTAATATTAGTAATACAGTTTCATGTATTTAAATTAACAGAGTTAAGTCAATATCATCCGTCTTTACAAAGTTATATAGTTTATAGCTTATAACATTATTTAACCCCTTACCGTCATGTGGATAGAAGTTTTTTTTATATTCTAAGTGCTATATGAATATAAAGTGTCAAAACTAAGGATTTGCATTATACTCAAATTTAAGAAATATTTAATTCCTGGTAAATGATATATTATTATGGGCCTACTAATGCTTATGCAACGATTTGGCGATCGAGCACGCATAATATCTGCACATCATACCAGTAATGTTAGTAGCGCTCCTCTGAAGGCATATTAACATAGTATGATAATTTTAAATAGTATAATATTTTAAAGGATCTTGCCAACTTTATTTAAAAATAAATATTTATGTAGTTAATTTGTGTTATACTTTGATTAGATTAACATAGCAGTCATGGTATTATTCATGCAACGCCTGATACATTTTAGGCGATAATGTACAGTAAGTTCATCATGAATAATATATAAATAATACTTGGATTATTTATATATTATTCATGATGAACTTACTGTATATTATCTCGGTTCGTACCCGGTTTTGGCAAATGGTAGTTCTAAGAAAACTCGGACACAGTACCTGGTGAGAATGTCTAACCGGTTGTTCCTGAGCTATTATAAATAAATACATCATTTTGCTTAAAAGCATTTGTTAAAATGATCACATCCATGCAAATAACTTTACAAACAAAAACACTTTTAATATTTTATTTGTATGCATCCCAAAAATCCAAGTAGGCCCAGGACTTTGTTTAGTACACTGATACATTTGCTGATCAGTTCTTCATTTGTGTTGACTGAATTTTCACATTTAAATTGCAGGACAACAGCTTCGACAGAGAGTCTTCAACAGTTGTCTCGACAAATAAATGGTCTCTTATCGGAGGTAAGGCAATATATTTATTATTTTATTATAATTGCCCTTTCTCCTCAAGAAGAAAAAAAAAAAAATGACAGCAGAACATTGGAAACAGATGTTTGGTGCAATGAGTTCACTTACCATAACATGGGAGTTTAGATTAAGTCATAATGGTTACTTTAAAATAAAAAATCATTAGTAGCTTTTGGCTATCGTTACTTTGAATAACTTAAACAGTAAATTAAACAGCCCCTAAAAACATAGTTTTTCGTATAAATCCTTTATACACATTTTTGTTTGCATTCAGCGTCATCTCCCATACCCAAATACGTCACAAATACAAAGCACAGGAAAAACTAATTTTTGAGATTGAGGATGAAAATTTGATAGAATGTCATCGGCAATGAGTCTGTGCCTAGTTTCAGCTCGATAGGATGATGGGAAGTGGGTCAATTAGCCTTCAGAAGATTTGGCTCAAAAGAAAGACATGAACAAAAGCAATTTTTTGAGGTTGGGAGTGGGGATGAAAATTTGATAGAATGTGTTGTCATTGGCAGTGAGTCTATGTGCCAAGCTTCAGCTCGATAGGATGACAGGAAGTGGGTCATCTAGCCTTCTGAATATTTTGCCTCCAAGAAACACACAAAAGCGAAGTTAATATGAAGGATTTTAAAATTTAGCTTTAAGATCAGGAGTTTCTTCATTTCAGGCCAGAGGCAAACCAAACACTACATCCCATGCTGTAAGTGACAGTGGATTGCATTTATAATTTTACAAATTTTACATTCCTGAGTTCAATGTTTTGCTGACGTCTTCTTCACCTGCTTGCTAAACAATTCCTAAATATTGTTTTTGGAAACAATAATTTCCCAGCATGCCGAGGCTCCAATGTTTAAGTCGGTTTATAGCTCTGTACCCAAAGAAGTTTTAGAAAAAAGATGGTCTCCAGAAAATGATTTCATGCATGTTTCTGTTAAGTTTTCTTTATTGTTTAATGGTAGGTTGTAAGTATTGTGCAGGGGTTTGTTGTGCTATTATTGATGGTGTTCAAATTTGTTTGGTGCCAAACCCCAGGGTTTCAAATGTGCAACACATTTTTTTTTGGGTCATAATGTTTAAGTATGTTTTAAGCATGAAATTAGTACAACATTGATACAACAATGGATTAAATTGAATCAATGAGTATTAGGAAGAAAAAAATAATTTTATTTGTCATTGCTCTACTCCTTTGAGTAGATGTATAATAAGTTTAAATACCACAGCCTCTTACATTGTGATAGTTTTGTACATTGTCAATGCATTTATTTATCCTTAAACCTCTTCCATCGGATATAAACCATCCTAAAACTGCAGTATCATTGAAAAATAACCCATTGCCATCATCAGGGTTTTTACCATGCCACTGATAAGCGCTTTGTCTTTTTCTCTCCTTATTTCTCCATTTGCTTGTTGCAGTCAGCAGCATATGTGAACTGGGAGGATTCACCCAACACTGGGGTGCAGGAGCTTGAGGTGCTGGAGGTTTTCTTTTTACTACTCATCAATAACATTGTTAATTTCATAATCAAAATATACAAGTTTGCACAAAGTAGTTTAATTTTTTGCTTTTTTTAAATAAATGCTTTGAGTGTGTTGGTTGGACCTTAAAGTTTTCTTTGTGTGTGATCTACTGCTGTTTTGTAAAAAAAAAAAAATTATTCTTGTTTCTCACGTCTTGAAAATTTACGTATAATTCTATTTGAGTGGTTGGACTTAATGAGACAAAAATAAACCGTGACGCTAATTGAATGTATAAAAATATGCAACATCTTTGGAGGAAAGTTTTTAATTAGGCTTTTACATAATGGCTTTTTTGTATTATTACCTAGATATGTGAGCTTCAAAAATTATGTTTTGCACAAGCATGAAAACTCAACATTATCTCCAACTATGACATTAGTAGAGAAAAAATAGAATTATCAGTACTTTGAGTTCATATGTTTAATTTTTATTTTATAGTAGCACATTCACTTTCCGAGGATGAGATTATATGATAACAAGCATTTAATGTGCAGTGACAAACAAAATGTATTAAATAATCACTTTATTACTTCATCTTTACTCAAGCTGGAATATTTAGCTTACAGCTTCAATGAAAATATTACTTAAGTTAAAATAAAACTTCACGCATGTTGGTTTTAAATCGTGCATGAACACTATCCTTTAAAAATAAAATAGATTTTGTGTATTCTTTGTTTATTTATTTCAATTTTTAAAAAATTAAATTGTTCATTACCTACACAGTAAAAGAACATGCAATTGATTTATCTTCAAGGAATTAATTCTTATATTGATAACTTTTAAGAAAAATCATTTTAAAATAAATGTAACAATAAATATATATATTTTTTTTTTTTTAAATATCGACAAACATTTCAAGGTTTCTATTTCTGAAAATCTATTCATTTTCTGTTCATTATTTCCATTTACACTATGAATAACATATTAATCATACATGCTGTACTTTGAAACGATTTACTAATTTGGTGTACTCCTTACTCTGCATCATTCATTACCTTATGGATTACTAACATGAAGTGGAGTGATATACACTAAAAGTCAACTGTCATTTCTTTCTTTAATTTTCTTCATTTGACTATATGAAGATGCTGGTATTAGCTTGCTTTGTAAAGGAGTCGGCACATTTATGCGTATGCTAGTTTAAGGATAAACTTGATAGTGGAATTAAACATCTTATAGACCAAATAGTTAACTGCTTTGCTTACAAGTGTCTGAATCAAATGTCAATTTAACAAAATAACCTATCTCATCAGTTGCTAATGACTCGTGGCATTTTTAAACCTCTTTTCTTTCCATTCTCATTTATAATAATTTAGAGAGACATATTGTGTCGTTTTAAAAAAAAAAAAAGTTTAAAAAAACTCACAACACTTCTTTTAACTGCTGAGGTGATTCTACAACATTCTGTAATGCTTTTTTAAAAGGACATTATCTAGAAATTAATTTGTTGTCCGTACTTTTCAGGAGAGGAACAGAGATCTGGCCGCCTTGTTGGAGAAGCATGCACAGGCCAATGAACAACTAAGCTCACAGAACCAACAACTTGTGAGTTGATGTACAGAGTACATGGATGATGTAACATGTTGAGCAACTGCAACATGTGAAGTGTTTCCTATAGCAATTCAATAATAATGTAGCAATTTATTTTCTTTAAAGTTAACCCGACCATAACTGATTCTTATTGACCTGTGCCAGTATCATTTTTGACCTGGTTTATCTTAAACAGCGAGCACATTCCAAAGCATTACAAGAACAGCTGGAGGCAGAGAGGAACTCTTTCCATGAAAAGCATAAAAAGGATATAGGTTCATTAAAAGAGCAGCTTCAAGTAAGAACTAATACTTTACATACAATTTTATACTCTCAAGTGAAGAATTGTTTTTAAGTTACATTCAAGAGCAGAAGAACCTACTTTAGTATTTAATAAGTTGAAAGAAATAATGTAATGAAATCTGGCTTTAAATTTAAGATATAGTTTTGACAACTGCAAGTACAGGATGTGCTGTATTATTTATTGTTATAAATCTGACGGTACTTATGAAATTATTCAAAAGAGAAGCACACTAGGCAAAAAGTTAATCTAAGTTTTCTCAAAACTAATTGGAATAAATAAAATAAAATTTGTCACAACTTAACAGGTTCATATACAGACAATAGGCATCCTAGTAGCAGAGAAAACAGAACTACAATCACAGGTTAATCAAGTTCAGCGGATAGCTGATCAGAGGATAGGTGAGGTGATTTTTTATTGCACTTCTCATAGCTGTATCATCTTATAACTTTACCGCCATCTATTTATAATAGGTTTATGAACAATTTCACCGGATTAACCTGTATGACATGAATTTTGCGTGACTCTGTGTGAATAAGTTGAGTGTGCGATGTAAAATATTATATTAGTGCATTAAAAAGAAAATTATATTTTCTAATTTTGTAGTTCTGCCACCGGTTTGAAGATCATAAGTAACAACCTATGTAAGCAAACTTCAATAACAAACCAAATATTTGATTTCTTCAGAAGAAATAGAGGAGCTGAGTGGTAGATTAAAAGCATCGCGGCAACGTGTGGCTGACTTGGAGCGAAATTTATCAACATCATCCCAATCCACCCACCAGATTGAGAAGGTGATTATAGAAAAGCTGTGTGCTCTAGCATTATTTACTTAAAAGAATTGTCTTTTGAAATAAATTATTTTCCTTTGGCCATCAGGCAGCAAAGTATAAAGGGAACGTTTGTTTCGAAATTAAATTGGAAATAACATTTATTTCTTTTTAAATAGGTCCTGGGGAGCTAATGAAATAATTAAAATACTTGCAACAATTTCTTTGATTGAACTAGAAATAAGTTTACCTTTTCCATTTTTTTAAAGCAACAGCAGGTGAGAATCCTAGATTAGTTGCCCAGTTTTTTCTTAAAACAAAAAAAAATCCTTGTTTTCAATCACTTTGGCAATCCTTTAGATTGACGAAACGCCCCCCCCCCCCCCCCCCCCCCNGTTTGTGGGTTAGACGTCATTGCATAGTGTGAAACAGTGTATATGGTCATAGAGATTTTTTTCACTGTTTGTGGGTTAGACGTCATTGCATAGTGTGAAACAGTGTATATGGTCATAGAGATTTTTTTCACTGTTTGTGGGTTAGACGTCATTGCATAGTGTGAAACAGTGTATATGGTCATAGAGATTTTTTTCACTGTTTGTGGGTTAGACGTCATTGCATAGTGTGAAACAGTGTATATGGTCATAGAGATTTTTTTCACTGTTTGTGGGTTAGACGTCATTGCATAGTGTGAAACAGTGTATATGGTCATAGAGATTTTTTTCACTGTTTGTGGGTTAGACGTCATTGCATAGTGTGAAACAGTGTATATGGTCATAGAGATTTTTTTCACTGTTTGTGGGTTAGACGTCATTGCATAGTGTGAAACAGTGTATATGGTCATAGAGATTTTTTTCACTGTTTGTGGGTTAGACGTCATTGCATAGTGTGAAACAGTGTATATGGTCATAGAGATTTTTTTCAAACATTAACTAAAAGTTTGGTTTTGGAGGAATAACATTTAGCTAAGTACATTGCAACATTTTATTATCTCAAAAATACATTTGTAACATTTCATGTTTTTTTAATTTCACTCATTACTGCTGCATCCACACATTTAGTACATATATTGCTATTGTAAATTTTATCCCCACTGTCTCACATACAGCTATATTCTTACATTGAGTGCTTATATATTTATAGTGTGCTTTTTATCACTGTCACTCATAAATAAAGGTTACATACACACACTCACACACAGCCAGTTAGCCATCTGTTTCAGGTATGCAATAATCAATAATTTAATCCTGGTGGTGTGTACGAGTTGAATAGAACAGTTAAGTACAGTACCCTGTTAAGCACAACTTGCATCAGAGGAAAGAGACAGACAGTCTGATGTGAAGCAGTGGGTTTTGACATTTAGGTGACGATTCGCTGCATACATATTTGACATTGCATTCCAACATTGAAAGTGTGTGGCTGTGTAGACTTGAATGTAAATATTTTAAGGACTTCACTGGGGAATTTCTAACAAAGGACTAAAAGCAAGGATGTATCCCATGCAATAACTAAACTTGGAATTTACTTTTGGCCACGGCATATCAGTTTGATTGTGACAAGAGTATGATTAAAACATCTTGGCAGTTTAAGTATTTACGTGAAAGCAATGCCTTAGTAGTGGGATGTTCTAAGATGTGACATATTAACAAAACTGTAAGTAAGACGGTTAATAATATCAAAGACCTTCTTTTTGGGTATCAGTTCAACTGCTGGTAGGTAAATTTAAAAAAACAGGCTCTTGTGAAACATATTAACAATTAGAAGAACAGTAAGAGGTTCATTAATTTGTGATACTATATTGTATCTCGTAGCACTTATTGAAACTAAATATGTAACAATGATAATGTTGAAGCGTTGTGATTAAACATTTTATTTCATTGTAATGAGACAAGAACACTATAGAGACACCCTATGTTTACATGTAGAAACTTAGTTAAAAAGTATTTGTGACATTACAAAAGCCATGATTCTTCACCCATTGCGACAATTTTAATTCTTGCTGGATCCATGCAGTTAACAACGTTACGTAATGATTTGTTTTTGTGCAATTCCACAACAGACTCAAAATGTAAAAAAAATACAACTAGTGTCCAATGTGTAGTTTTAAGTATGAATTGAGCGAGGTAAAAATGGCAGATGGAAGAGACCGTAATGTCAATTTTAGCCAGTGTTTGTACAGTGTTATATCCATACATACATATATACATACATAGAGAAATCTATGTTTTGTTCATCAATCTGCAGATTGCTAACCTGTGCACTTCTCTATTGGCACACATGAAACATCAGTGATAGCAATCAATTAATAATGCATATTCCTTGACAACCATGTATATCTCATTAATGTCCTTACAGATCATAATATCTTTGTTCATCAATGTATTATATTATTTATCTTGTATTATCTGTAGGCTGCTGTTGAGAATGCCAAGGAAGTGGATAGGTTGAAGTTGGAACTTTTAAAATCCAAGTAAGCTAATCAATATTTGTAATTTTATACTTAGCTATTCAGATGAATGGGAGTAATGTTAAATTTGAAATTCATGACATAGAACACCTTGTTTGAAAATAAACATATGGAAATGTTTTTAGATTGTAACATGATGTTTTTGGTTTTCTTTAATTTCTAGCAAACAATATGAAGAACTGAGACAGCAGACATCAGAATTGAAAGAACAGCTGCAATCAAAGGTATTAACAGTTAGAGCATGAAACATTTAACTGTATCAGAAAGTAAATAAAGATTAATTGTAAAAATAACAAATGAATACTTTTTAAATAGATTTTACTTTTTTTTTCTCTATTGAAAGTATTTGTAAATATTTAAATTCTGTTCAATGCTTTAAGTTAAATGCAATAACTATCTACGTAAACAATGTATAGCCATGAACAATTGTTCCAATCACAATTTTTATTTGCCATGCGAAGTGATAATCTAAAAAATAGGATTATTTAGTACTAGAATAAAAAAATGAACAACACATTTGTTTCATTCTTTCCTAATCCTTTTATTGACTTGAATCGGGGATGATGTTAATGTTTTTTTTCCAATACTTATTACAGGTGACTGCCAACTCTTCTCTGTCACAAACTGTAGAGGACTTGCAGAAAAGACTTGAAATGACAGAGCTGTATGCGCAGCAGGTAATTAAAGGCATCAGTTACATTGTCTGTTGTGCATTTATATGGCTCAAAGGAAATGTTCACAAATGGGCTGTTTGGTCCGCATAACATGAATATTTATATTCTTATAACTTATAACTTTAAAAAAAGTTTGGGAACCACTGGTTTAGCAGTTTAAAGAATTAACCTGTAGTATAAACAAGTTCTCTTTGTACTGAAATAGTTCTGTTGTATAAACAAGTTCTCAATGATGTCTCAACTAGTACTGAATATTTCTATTGTTCATTACCAGCTCTCCAGTGAAACAGAAAACTCACAGGGCAGTGTGGAAGTACTCAACAATCTACAGAAAGAGAGAGACACCTTGCTGGAGCGTTTACACCAGGTGGGCAATTACATAATCATCCAAAATTAATCAATTTTTGTATTAATTTCAGAAGTAAGAACACACATTGCCATAATTGTACAATTAATGCTGTGAAAATAAGAGAAATAACTTGCTGTTTGAATGAATTGTCAGCTCTGATTAAAAAGTAACAAAATAAAATTGCTTTTAAATTAATATTATTTATAGCCAATTCATAGGCGACTAAACGTTTTGGTGAGATGGGTTATTTAAAAAGTTCTTCTGTAATTTATTTTATCTATTTTCTTACAGTTTCACTGGTGATCTGCTTATTTACCATAAATTTATTAAGATAAGCCATCAAATGCAAAAGTGTCTCAGCATTTGCTAGGATTTAAAAATGCACAAATCAATGTTTTTTGATAATTAATACACCCATAATGACCCATAATTAAAAAATGTATAAATTATTATCCAGATCTTTTTGCATTAGTTAGACATCTTCGAGTTGCAATTCTGATTTTTAACATGTGAATATTGTGTGACCTCTAGCAAGAGGAGCTCTCCCAGCAATTGAAATTAGAGAGAGACCAAGTGACAGAACAATACCAACAGTACACGGACCAACTAAGACACCAGGCACAGCAACTTACACAACAGGTGAGTAGCAGAACACTGACCAAATGAAAAACCAGGCAAAGCAACTTACACAACAGGTGAGTAGCTGTATACACACAATAGATGAGTAGTTGTACTTGACCATGGGAGACACTGCCCATGCTCTAGTTGAATGACTTCACAGTATTTCTTCTCTAGCTGCAGTGTAGTAGCAGCTAAGAGTTAAAACCCCCTCAAGCAATTGGTTTTGATTGTCCATAGAATGAATCTACAACATCTGTTAAGATTAACCCTTTGATAGCAACAACTAGAAAATTTTTTTTTTATTTTAGAGCTTACATAGTTACCTGCTAAGTCATTTGTATGGAATGCTTTTGTGTATTTGTCACAAATTTATGTATTTTAGAGGTCTTGTTAATTAGGGTTTTTTTTCTAACTGAACCATCTCATATATCTATCTCAGATCACAGTTCTAACAGAAGAAAGAGAACAATTACTCAATAGACAGCACGATTTGGAAGGAGCAGTTTTAGAATTGCAAAGAAAACTGGGTAAGGAGGTTTTGATTGGTCATTAGTTACCCAGCTTTTAATTTAGCATCTCTCAAACTGGAGATAAGTCTAATGGGTTCTCCTGTTTTTACGCATTATTTTTGAGTGCATTGAAACCACAATCATGTGACGACCTGATATAGGATCTGTAGTGCATTCAAATGATCAAGATTAGGGGATGTTTAGAGGTCAGATTAAACCCCTTATTTTGGGTGCACAAGTCAAAGGTTTGGAAATTATAAGAGACGCTAACTCCTGTTTCTTCTAACAGCTATACTTATAATAATAATAATAATTCACTCTAACTCGTTTCCTTTTTTTAGGAGATTTATAATTTTGATTAAATATGAAATATTTTATTAAATTTTCTACATTAATTACAATACACATATTTTAAACATAATACTTAAAAAATAATTAATGATCACAGACAAATGTAGCTCTGCTGATTCATTTGAAACTAGGTAGGAACAGTTTAGTTAAGTTTCTATTGAAATGAAAATTATTGGAAGATTAAAATTTAATTGAGTAAAACTTTAACATTACAGTGCAAACATTCTTACACCTGTTCATTATAATTATTTCCTTTATTCTTAATAATTATGAAATATGCTCACTTACTTCCATGCTTGACCATTGAAATCTTTTCAACAGAGGACATAGGCAGCATGCCACCAGTGCCTCAGGTTACTCAAACTGTATCACGTGAGCTTACCGATGAGCTGGAGAAACTCAGGGCAAACATCAGGGAGGCTACAGATGCACTGGAGACTCAGGTCAGGGACAACATGCAGTTAAGCAGGTGAGGCCCTAGTGTTGATAGGAACCAAAACTTGGCAGATTAATTTCAACTAATGAAAAAAAGTAAAAACAAATGATAATTTTCATCTGTGACTTGCTTATAGTTATAGTTTTCTCTCTGGTCTCATAAGTATTGTATTTCAACTTTATATTTCAAATAAGTTTATTCAATAATTCCATGATTGAACCAGCAAAAAAACATGGTGGTCCATGATTCTATCTTTAAAATGAAGCATTTATACCTTTTTAAATGGTCTACAAAATGAACAGGGCAACCAACACACGTCACCATAAATCTGAGAAACTGATAAATTTAATGCCATAAACTTATTTTAGATAGAATTTTAATTAGCATAGATGCTAAATTAGACATTAAAAATTAAAATGCCCTTAGGTTACTGGAAGAGAAAGAGGAGAAGATCTTATCTCTAGAACGTTCTGTGGAAGAAATGGGAGAGCAGGCGGGTGACAAGGTCCAGCTTTTGGAGAGCATACAGAGTGACAAGACTGCACTGAGCAGGGCCCTGTCACAGAACAAAGAACTCAAGGCACAGCTGGCAGAGTTGCAGCAAGTATTTGTCAAAATGGTCAGTTTAACACAGCATCCAGCCAGCTTATTCATTTACTATGCCAGCTCTGGCATTTGTAAGAGATCAAATGAAAAGCCATCTTGTTTGCGGCACAATTAAGCTAGTACCATAGATTACCCTTAGTGCCTAAATCAACTTTATTAAAGTATAATCAGGATATGTTGCCATGATCAGTTTAGTTTCTTGGCTGAATGAAATGTGCAGATTTTTTCCTTAAGCCTACAGTCTGTTGCTGCCAAATCCGGCCACTTCGAGGCTTTTTACTTTCGTTCTTAGCACAGCGGAAATCCATTGCGCATTACTATTTATAGTTATACCCGAAGAAAGCCTCGTTGTCTGCATTTATTTTGATACTAGTTTGACAGCGGTGTGTTTAGGGGCTGATTTTCTACGATTATTTTAAAAGTTGCAATTTTTTGCTGTAAATAATGGCTTTCGAAGCCTTGGATACAATTTTGAAAGAAAGGCCTTATGAAGCTTCACTATTTCATAAATCTAGCAGCGATAGTGAAGAATCTGATAGAGACATTAATTTAAATGATGCCACTAGTAATAGTGATTCAATTGAAGAAGATAGTAATAGTGGCGACATCGATGACAATGAACCTATCAATTCCACTCGAACTGATCGGCAAGATCATTTGTGGTCTGGGAATTTTTCTCAAATCAAAGTGGTAGGGTCCCTGAAACTGTTTTTTGGTGCAACTTTTGCTTTAATCATTTCTTTGTATTTAGGTATTTTTTTAATTCTTTTCTTGCTTATAGTTTATTTTCTGTGAATTAATTACATAAAGAACCTTCATTTAAAATGGAGTTATGTCCCTTTGCTTGGTCGCTGGGAGTAGACAAGGCTGAATAGGCTTGGACTGTAAAGGGTTAAACCTAAAATGTGCCATTGAATAGGGAAAAACTTGTTAGTCTTAATTTTGTGACAAACTGTTAATACTTCTGTCTTTAAATTATAAATAAACAAGTCTGTAAAGAATGCAACATTGAACCTTTTCACAGAGTAATGACAACATGGAGCTTGTGACCAGGCTACAGACAGAGCAACATTCCAGCAATGAGCTGTCCTCCAAGCTGGCACAACAAGAAGATGAACTTACTGGTCTAAGACAGGTGGTAAGTCATTCTGTGTAAACTTTTTGACAGTGTAATTCTACTGGGGATCATTTGTACATCATGCCACACTTGTCAATACATTTGACATATTTGAAATGGCTAGAAAGACTTTGATATTGTATGCTTGTAATTAGTTTTTGTAGTGTTGTGTTTGTTTTAAATGTGGTGAATTATAGATATGTTTTTTGTTGACTTTGTACCGCGCTTCGAGCCTTTGGGGATGAAGCGTGTTTTTTTAAATGAACTTTATTATTATTATTATTATTATATTTGAAAGTGTTGTCACAAAACTCGTTGCCTTCAGTGTTATGTTATACTTGTCCCCTCTATTGTCCAGCTGTCCCAGAAAGAAAGTGAAATCTCTCAAATGTCCCTGGCCACCCAAGCTGTAGAGAAGGAAAAATACCAGCAGAACCAGATGACGGACAGGCTACGTCACTATGAGGCTCAGGCTCAACTGGTGGACACGTTACAGAATGAACTCACTTCAGCTCAGGTGGGACTTGTTGGGTTGAAAGAGATTTTTAAAATTTGTATACGTTTATAAAAGACAGCTTTGTCATGGTTAAGAACACTCATGTCAAGACTTGATCAGTAGGATTTATTTACTGATTCTTATGATTTTTGTGAGATAAATTGTTGATTTTCTGTCATTACAAACAACAACAAACGTCCAGATTATTTAGAAACATTATCATCAAGATTTTTCATCTATTTTACTATTTTTAAATCATAATATGAATCAATTTTTTTTTTTTTAAAACCCTTTTATTACCGATGACATCACAATCACCCACTTTCAATTACCAAGGACATCACATTGACGTCATAACAAAAAGGCAAAGAACTTTTCTGAAATACCAAGAACGTCACGTTGACTCAAATTTCTTTATTCATTAATTTATAGAGAAGTTAATAAGCGAATCGGATAGAGAATGAAAAATACCGGAAATTTCTTCTTTAAAAAGCTTTTTATTGAGGAGTCAGCAAAAATCGATGCCAAAGCCAGCGGTAATTAAAGGGATAAACAAGAAATTGTTGAATCCCGCTCTGAGGCCAGTTATATTTTCCATTATAAATCTCATTGGAGTACCTCAAAAACCACTCATTGAACCAATGAGATGGACTGCAATGCCAGGCTCTATCAGTTCTGGAATTCCCATATTTATTTGTTTCAGGACATGATGGAAGCCCTGACAACACAGAATAGTGAACTCAGGACAATGCTTATCAAGGCCACTGAGGTCAAATCTGCATCACATTCCAAGATGGAGAATGGGGAAGACGTGCCCAATCCAAGGGATGAAATAGTGAGTTTAGTGGGGTTTGATGATGATAGTAAACCCAGACCAGGTTACTCTTGCAATTTTTGCATACAGTATATGATTTTGAGATGCCTTTTAGGTCGTTGTCATAGCTCCTTTCTACATCCTGCGGTGAATGGACAGAGAAATATGATTGGTTGGGCATCATCCATAATTATATTACATACACCATGAAGGGAAGTGGGGGAGGCAGAATATAAATACAATTGTTGTTTGAGTGGAAGGGTATGCAGCAATGATTTTGGATATTTTTCACATGGGTCTGCCTGGGGAGGGGGGGTCAGAGGTCTAAGTATTTTTAAGGCTATAAAATAACACCATGCCATGTTTCATAATGATGGTGATGATTTTCATGTGGCTCTGTGTTTTCACAATTGACTCACTAGATTCAGCAACAGTAATATTTAGTTTAGTCACCCTAGTGACAACTTTAGTCAACAGTTGCCTTTTTTTTTTCCTTCTTCCATGCTGTATGATGCAATTTTGTGCAAAAACTGAGACATTTAAGGATTAAACAAAAAAATTCATTCTCAACCCCAGTTTGGTTCCAGCACTCCTTCTCTTCCTTTGTGGTCACTACAAGACTTTAATATTTTAACAGGAAATAAAATCAGGCTCCTCTGCTTAATGGCTAATGAAGTATAAAAAAAAGCCAACTTGTTCTATAATTCAATATCAAGTGACTTGGTAGCTTTTGCAAATAACCTCACATTTTGTAAATAACTATTTATTTGACAAACTTGATATTAATGAGGCTGAATTGAGTTCAAGTTTGAACCACTGTCAAATTTCAGCTGTAGCTTTTTTTTTTTTTTTTTTTTTTTTAAGTGACATCTTGCTATAATGTGATCTGTTCTTACACCCACTTCTTAATTGATATCTGTAGCAGATACTTGAAAGATAATGAGATCTGCACTTACACCCACATATTAATTGACATCTGTAGCAGATACCTGAGATACATGTCTGGAAAACAAACTGACCGCAGTTGCACTATAAACACCAGTCATCTACTTTTGGATGTGACCCTTTTTTTTTTTTTTTTTTTTTTTTTTTTAATTTTTTTACCTTTTTTTTTTTTTTTTGTCCTTTTTTTTTTTTTTTTTTTTTTTTTTTACATTAGCTTAACCTTATTTGGTTTGACACTCAATACCAGTAGTTATTTTATACATTATCAATTATGTTTACATATTATTAACTATAGTGATATGGTATTGTACTATTTTGATACTGTCTAGTATTATTCTGAGATCATATTGTAATACTTTGTGAGTTCCAGGGTAACCAGGTCTCATAACTGTTTATTTTGTTGTATGGAAATCTGATTATCATCCAGTTGAGAGAGGCAGAATATAAATACAATTGTGGAAGGTTCTACAAACCACTGTCTTTCAGCTGTCAGCTTTGTGACTTTTTTAAAAGAAAACCAAGACGTTGTATTGTCCCCAACTTTGGCTTTCTAAAATTTGATGCAAATCTTTAATGAAATAAAAATAATTGTATTTATTTGGAGGAAACAAGGAGAAGGATTAAAATTATAATAATAAAATATTATATACATTGATAAGTGTGGGAATATACCTGTTGGTACTGATGAGATAATTATCAGGTAGTGCAAGAAAACTGACAAAAATAATCAGTTATTCTCATTTTAGGTACCAATCCTTTCAATGCATTCTAGTTTGGGCCATTAGCTAGTTAGGTCATGAATTTGGATATAATATGGGTGCACATTTTTTCCTTTAGTTATATTTTCCTGTTAAGAAATTATGTTCACAGAATACAAATTCACTGTGTCATGTTATTGCTCTTACTTTGTTCCATCAGTTCTATCATTCTGTTCCTAGATTCAGTCCCTACAAGACACAATAAAACAGCTGGAGAATGAGAGAACTCAACTGTATGAGAGCCTGAAAGAACAGAGGAGACTCTCAGACAGCCTGGGAATTAAAATAGCTGACCTCAATGAGGAGCTGATCAGGAAAAGTAAATAGTTCAAATTTTACAGCTTAATCTGCATATTGTGCTGTTGTCACTCTGGGACAATTCTAAAACATGTTTATGGACAGTCCCTAAGCTAGGTGAATTTAAATGTCAAAATTATTAGAATGATGTCAGACAATGATGCTGAGGGTAAATCTGTAATAGGCACTAGTCTGCAATAATTGATCTATACATGTATCAAACTAGTACAGAACTAGTAATACCATTACCATTCTTTCCTTTGCCTCCTGTAGAATCTGACAGTATGGACAGTGACAAGATTAGCCGAGCGGAGTATAACGAGCTGAAGAATGCCATGGAGATGATCCAGCAGAAGTACATGCATGTCATGAAGGACAAAGCTGAGCTGTCTGACAAGGCGGACCAACTGGAGCACCTGGTCTTGCAACTGCAAGGGGAGACAGATACTATAGGTGAACTGTTGAATACCATGGCATCATTTCAACAAACCAAAATCTATATAAGCACTGATAGATATTGTAACTTTTTTCACTAAATTTTCATTTAGCGTAATTTTAAAAAAATCAAATAAAAAATATTATTTTTCAATACCATAAAAAATAGTTGAATTAATTTTTGTTGAATTCAAAATTAATTCAAAAAAAATTTCAAGGCTTAAAATTATATGTGAAATTTTTTAAAGATTGTTCAAATTTGCAAAGATCAGCCACTTTTTTCTGAACAAAAATTTATAAAGACATGATGAACTTCTTTCTGCAGGAGAATACATTTCTTTGTACCACCACCAGAGGGCATTACTGCAGCAGAGAGAGACACAGAAGAACGATTATATATCCCAGCTCGCCAGGGATAGGGAACAATTACAGGTCAATATTCCTCTACATTTTTTTTTTGTACAACCAATTGGTATTGACACAAGGATGTATCATGCGTTTGTTTAATCCAGTTTACCTTTAAAGCACATCTGGATAAAGTTTGGAGTTAACAGTATATTTCATGTAATACAATTTGGCGTGTGGAAGAATTGAATAAAGAAAAATTGATTTGTCCTGTTAATTCCTTTTTTAAATTTGTAGGACAAACTTGGAGAACTCCAGGCCCTAGTCATGCAGTTGCTTGGAGAAAGGAACATGCTGCACAGCTACAATGAGGAAAGCAGACTTACACCGCGGTTGCCGCATCAGCACCATCACCAACAACAGAAACAACCTCAGCAACAAATGAGCAATGGAACTATCAGTTCGTATGATAATGGTTGGTTTCCTAATATAAGATTCCATTTTAAAAGAAAGCTTACCTCACAGGTTAATATCAGTAAATATTACTCAGGGTTTCTATTTTGGGTCCTAATTTATTTCATTGTCATGCTCATGTTTGATTAGGATGACCATAATAAGGATCCTGTTAGTTGTTGTTCATTGAGATTTTAATAGTTATTTCCGGTTCCATAAGTCAGTTTAAACATTTTTATTTATCATAGTTTTTAGAAACAGTTTAAAAGATTGTATTAAACAAAATTGACATTACAGAGTGTTTTGTTTTCTACTAAATTCGTTTTTGGGTTCTGGGTGGCCGAGTGGTCTAAACTGAGTCATTCTCAAGTTCCATGGTCTTGAGTTCAATACCCATCAAAGCCCAGTCAAGCGAAAACATTGCCAGCACCCCGGGTGGATTGGGCCCGTTATCCTTGGATGGCAACTCATCTAAGAGAAGGAAACTCTGAATTCAAACCCCGGAGATGGAGTCCTGTAGGTGGATAACACTGACACAATCAAACATTACAACTCCTGAAATGCCACTGATGCCAAGCTGTATCTATCATCCAAATGATGTTCCCTTTGGTTATCCAGGGGCATAGAGAGAGGGGATTTGCTGTGTAGGGAACCAGCTTATAATCCTAAAAAAGTATAATCCCAGGCCTTGTGGATTTCGCCCTGCGAAGTCTACACCATTGTCACATTGTGACGGGCGGATGCCAGCAAGATATTAAAAAAAAAATCATTTAATTATTAATTAATTTTTAACTTAATGCCATGCTGTGATGCACATCAAGAATTTGACCAATTTGATAAGTAAGGTTCCATTGTCCTATTTTATTCCAGAATGGCCAGACTATACAAGTTCTGAAAGTGATACAGAGAGTGAAGTTGAGCCTATAGTTGGTGGCCAACAGGGCCCAGCTACTCCGGACTCAGAACTTACACCTCAGTCATCAGCCTCAGCTTCTCCAGAAGATTCTACTCATCCTGGACACAGGTGAGAACTTATGTCCTTAAAAGCTTTTAAAAATATATTGAACTTGAAACATTAGGAGTGCTATTAATCAGGGGAACCAATCAAACAGGGTCAATATTTACTAAACAGTTCATCTGCCTGAACATGTCGCATATCATTTTAAGTAAACAGGCTAACAAATGTTTCAGCCAATTAATTTCTTTCCCCATCCCACAGACACGACATGTCCAACGGACACATCAGCGATGACATGGAGGCTGAAGAGGAAGACAACCACAACCATCATCGCCATCACCACCACCACCACCAACACACCCAGCACCACGATCACCAGCAGACATTCAAAGCTCCCCCAGAACACGACAAGACAGCCCACAAGATCCTGAGTCTCCTCACAGAACTGGGGCACTCCCACCTTGTGGAACAGATCCCTCTCATAGACAGAAACTTTCTGCCCTGCAAGTTTTGTAAAGGAGCTGTGCAGATAGTCTGATGTTTGTCAGCACCCCCATTCTCTTCCTTCATTAATGTTCTAAATCTGATGGTCTGCCATACATCACAATGATTAGTCTCAATCTTGGTTTATACATTTTTTGACTTATGGCTGTGGCATCATAGTCATAGGAGAGATCACTAGGAACACCATTAGACTCAAAACCTTGAAGTTGCTTGTATTTGAGTTTAGTTCTTGATAAACACACACACAAGCAGCAAAGCAAGTCATATAACTGAATAGGGCCAGGCCGTCACTGTTTTTAACACACCAAGCCTATCACAAGTGTTTGAGGACTAAGTAGATTTACATACTGGTCCTAGTTATTTCTTAGCCTGATTTCAGTTGTTGCTAATCTGAACATACTGGTCCTAGTTATTTCTTTGCCTGATTTCAGTTGCTGCTAATCTGAACATACTGGTCCTAGTTATTTCTTAGCCTGATATTCAGTTGTTGCTAATCTGAACAAGGGATGTTTCATTAGTGCTGTGAATATTATATATATGTTACATAGATCCAGACTATATGACTTTGGCACTGATACTGACAGAGTCATGAATCAGTACTAAAAAACGGCTTCGTTATTATTTTGGGAGACTTCACAGGTATTTGTCCAAACTGATGTCTCCCAGTCTTAAAAAAATCAAGAAACTGGATTACACTATTGAATATTTTTAATGGGATAGAATTAAATTAAAAAATATTCTCCTCAGTAGACAGACATTGAAATAAAAAAAAATATAATAATAACATAATATATATAATAATATTTAACAAGAAGAAGTAGTTTATAACACAACTTGACACCCTTACAAATTACAGTCGTTATTATTAGTTATGAATTGCTGCTGCATCAAGAAATAAACTTGGATAATGTGGGAATGTTAGACTATACACAATGATATAGCTAATTATGTGCACCTTGCAGTAGTAAGCAGACATAACTGTCATCCAAATAATCTTGTAATAATAGTCTTTTGAATTAGATTCTGCTCTTTGACTGGCTGTGAAATATTCCAATGTAAATCTAAAAGTTTGAGTAACTTGTCAGCTTTTAATATTTCTTTGTCATCTCTTGTTGGTTTGTTTGACTGAATGTCTGCCCCCCCATCTGATAATTGGGCACTGACAGCTCATCTTCAGTATTGAAGTTTATGTTTGTTTTCGTTTGTTAAAAGTGAACCTACCTCCCCTTAATGAGCCGTACAATAAATTACCTAGATTCATGGAACAAATGTTAATAGTAATAGATGCAGTTGAATTGATTTCACTGCAGTTTTTTTTTTTTATATAGTTTGGGGCAGTTCTTAGTTGAGAGCAATAAGACCTTATTAAAAATGTGATCTAAATCTAAGGGAACAATTAGAGAAACCTCCTGATGTTGCTCATTCAGATATAAATAAAAGAGGGGCATCTGCTATTTCAAAGAGCCATTCCTTGCCATTCTCTGGATTAGTTTGTTGGATACTTGCCATATGTTGGGCTGGGTTTTTGTAATGGCTAGTGAGACAACAGCTGGACACCACTGACTGTTGATAAGAGTTTCTGAAGAGGAGCAGGTAACCCCTGATTATATAAAATGTTTCTTTAAACATTTATTGACGAGGAACTTTATACTTTTGATCAAACGCAGCACTTGAAGAAATTCTTTATGACTGTGTTCCATTATTAGACCATAGCTTACAACAACACACAACTCTACTGTCTGGTTGGCGGGCAGGTTCTTCAATGAAACTAATAAATCACATATTGTTAGTGGTGGAAATATTGTTTTTTCATGTGGTTAAACTAATCAAAAAAATGATTTCAATTTTTGAAGTGTCCTGCAGAGTCCCAACAAGTGCTGAATTGATTTAACAAAAAAATTGAATAGCTTGTGGATCATTATGTTTGCATTAAGGCCCCTAGCATTTAGTTGTGGTATTTAAACTTGGTATAACTTAGTTTTTTTTTTAGTGTGGACATTTAAGGTGAAGGCTGTTGTGAATCATTCAATGAACCAATATTTGGTATCCCCCCTCTGCCACCAATGAGGCAGAAAACTATTGAAATCAAGTATGGCTATGTTGCATTTTGTATTCAGATGAAGGCCTTATTTTTTGGTGGTTGTATTTGTTCAAATCAAAACTGGTTGTGTGTTACACGGGTACATGTTGACTGGAATGGATGTAATTCTGCAGAAAACTCCTTGTATTTTTATTGAAAAAAAAATTGATGGTAATCCATGATTAAAAACAATCAATTGGTTCTATAGGGGCATGAGTATTTCAAGGGATATGTATAGTAATCATAGTCATTTGATTGGCATTTTTGGCATTTTCTGTGGTCAAAGGTAAAAATTATGTTGTTAATTAACAATTTTTTAGCATAGTTGCTTGTCAGGACTGTTAGTTGCTACTCCGTTAAATAACAGTAAATAGGAATTATCTGATGTGAGCAGAAGTAAGCTGTAGAATTACATTCTAAAATCTCGCAGGTCTCACAAAAATTCAGTTTTTTTTATAACTAGACTAAGGCAACTTACAAATTATTTGAATTTCATTTATGGCTTTCACTAAAGAAATATAGACATCTGGAATTTTTTCTTCTTCTCTCTACGTTGTCGTTAAGGTTGGAGATTAGACAAAAGATGGATGGAAAACCCTTAGGAAGACCTAACGAAACCACAATCAAGTCTTGAAAGGCTAACAGAGTAACAGTCAAAATGGAAAAATTTAACATCAAAATGAAAACAGCAAATTGACAATAATAATTTGATGAAGACTTCTTTAAGAAGAAACCACTTAAATTCAGTAACCTTTTATTTCACACAAAAATGTCCAAACTTCTTGTAGGGTTTTCTGACAGAGTGACCATCAATACTTGCCTTGAATATGTCCATCATATTTATAGATATATCTTGTAATTGGTCTAGAAATTGCTACGGTTTATTGTAAAAAATGTAATGGTGTCCCCGCTTTAAGTATTTATTTCTAAGCTTTGTTTGTTTTTTTTTGTTTTTTTTTTTACAAACCTCAACAGGTTGTAAGTATTTTTATTTTAAATGCACAGTTCTCTTCTCTTGAGTCTAGTGTTATTGTATTCTCAATGTTTTCTGACCTTGTTTGAACTCAATGTTTTCTGACCTTGTTTGAACTCAATGTTTACTGAACTTGGGTTACTCATTTGTTTATTTAGCAACACTGTTATTACCTGCTGTATAACTCACTTTTTTCAGGTTTTGGAAACACTAGCTTTTCATCTTATGTTTTTGTTTTTCCTATGCAATTACTTATTACCTGAGTTGTCTACTTAAACTTATATTACTGAATATAGCGGGAGTTGTTCTTGGGTCTTATTTTTCAAATGCTTTTATTTTTTTTTTGTCAAGAGTGCTTATCATGCAAGTCCTGCTAAGTTTGTCAGAAGTGATTGTCCTGCAAATCTTGCTAAGTTTGTCAGAATTGATTGTCGTGCAAGTCTTGCTAAGTTTGTCAGAAGTGATTGTCATGCAAGTCTTGCTAAGTTTGTCAGAAGTGATTGTCATGCAAGTATTGCTAAATCCTGGATGAGTCTCAAGGACATCTGCATGAAATTTGAGTTTTTAAATTATGCTCATAATCCCAATTTGATGTTCAGATAGAGCTTTGCAGTGCAGTCAATGGAAGATTTCATTAAGCTCAAATACTGACATAGCTATTTTAGTGCTGTTTTGTAACCTTATCTGAAGAGACACTGATAGAAATGACTTTGTCCTTCCCACTGGGTGGAGCTCATTAGGCTGTTCGGTGACCCTTGCCTATGTTTTTCACTGTCCTTTCCAAGTGTCTACCTCCAAGTCTTCCGAGGCCTTACCCGCTGCCTCTTCCCTTGGCTGGTATCTAATGTAAAGCAGGGCTTAGCTTATGCACTGCTTTGTTATGAGACGTAACATAAGCACATGTGCAACAGCAACTGAAAATGACTACCTGCTATCGGTATTGTTACAAGTAAATTAAATTTAGATGCTTGTTATTTTCCCTGTAGATGGGTCAACACAACACTCACACACACAAACATCCTATGAGACTTGAATTTACCAGAATTCCTCATTACTTATGGTGTGTTGAAGTAAGAGATTGTTTTTTTTAAAAGTCCAGGTCTGTTTTGCAGAAGCGTCCCTTCCATATTCTACTCCAGTTTATACACACCAGATAGCGCAACCTTAGGGGGAGTGTTGTGAAGATCCTCCTGTATTTGTCTCAGTGTAAAACATAATACATGAACAAACCCCTACAATTCTGAATAATTAATCTTGGTTGTGTCCCTTTATACCCAAACTATTCAAAGTTTCATACCACAATCTGCTCCCCCTGAAGGGTGAAATGAATGAAGAATTTAAGGCAAATCAAATCATAAAATTATAATTGTTGTAACTGAGCTGGTAAAAGTATTTGAATTTGATTTTTTTTGGTATGCATGCAGTCCTTGGATTATTTTGGTCTCTAAATTGACCCTAAACTATAAAGAATGCATTGTGATAACTGTAAATTTTGTGCAAAGTAAAAAATGAGAGAAGTCATTTATTTAATGACAAGTCGTGCTAACAGTAAAACAATTGTGTAAATAAGCTGTACAGATGAAACCATAAGATAGTTGATGTGGGTTATGTGGAGGGAATTGTGATCTTCTTTAAAATCATAATACGGTACTATTATTAGCTTTATGACATCACATGTATTTTTGACATCACATGTATTTTCGTACAGATTAACATATTCTTGATGATTGAATCTGGCTTATTTATTGAGATTGTTCAAGCAATCATTATGCCTAAGGTCAATTGTTGATTGTTGAATATGTGGCTTATAGACATACCAATCTTCTTTTTTAATGCACCCCAAATAAATTTGACCAAATGTGAAATTGTTTTTATTCATGTTTTTAAAAAAGATTTGCTTACTTGTTGGGCCTTGCTTTATTGAATTTTAAAATTTTAATTTAAAATTCACTTCACAGGTTTGGATGACACTGTGTTGTAGTTTTAATGCTATTTAGGGTTTCTTGAATTATTTTTGAGCTTAGATATTTTAAAAAAAGAAGAAAAGAAATTTAATTTGATTAATATTAACATTGTTTTTAACTTTAAAATTAAAACTTTTTTCAGATATGGAATTTAAGAAAATACTAATTAAATGTTATTATAACAGTTATACTTATTTTGTACTAAGGTTAAAAACATGGCTAAAGATAAACGTTTCTTTAGAAACATATTTATTATGTTCTTAACATATTTTCTTCTGCCTGTTTGCTCTTAAATTCTCAATGTAAACTTGTACAAAGCCATATATATTTATACTACAAAACAGATGTGATGGCACAATAATTTAGAACCGTGTCAAAGTCTAAATTTACAGCCATCCCATGTGGAAGTTCCCTGACAACAAGATGGAGGCCTGTAAACACTGGCTCCTGTAAGCACTCACTCAACTCACCCTAACTGCTGCTGCTGTTGTTGATTGACATTTCAACTAGTTTTTGTTTGTTCATATAATTTATGTTAACGCTAATAACACTGTTAAGATTATTATTTCTTTTATTTTCATTCAAAGAAATTAAATAACACATTCATGTTTACTTTGTGTTTTCGTTTATTTTCAATTTTGTGATTTTTAAGCAACATCAGGGTTTCTGGATGGAGTTTCTAAATGTATTTATAATTCAACTTAATGAACTCAGTTTGCTTGACTCGTGATGCATAAATTAATTTATTCAAGATTGAACATTTCTTATAAAAATTTGAACCAGCATAAAGAAAACACGGTTCAACTCAAATTTCATACCCCACATGATTACATTTGTTGCCATAAGTTTTACAGAAACTATACAAAATAAAAAGAGCTCACAGTTGTTCATATTTTTAAAAAATTATTTATTTTTTTTACAATATTTAAAAATAAATCACACAAAAAAAAATTTGTGGAAAATAAATTTATTTGTACAAATAGTTTAGGAAAAGTGTAATTAAAAAAGTTTGAGTGCATATCACAGAATTTAGAAATAAAATATCACCAGGAATAATATTGTGACAAATCACACTGAAGGCAGTAGAACTGTATAATATAATATGTTTAAAAAAAATGATTTTTTTTATAACTTCATGGGAATGATTTTAAATAAATATTTTGTTTAGGGTAATCACACTGGAATGTGTCAAACCTCTAATTAGTGTAATTTACAGAATACTACACAGCTAAAATTGGGTAAACAGCTGGTAATTTAAAGGGGGGCTTTTAATTTGCTCAAATTTGGGGGATTTACCTATTACAATATATTTAGTTAAATTTTAATATTCGGGGCCACACTGCATCAAATGAATGATTTAAGGAAACAAATCTAGCAATACCTTGTGTTGAATTGCAGTCTTGGGTAAAAAATAAAATTACCACTTTTATCTTGATTGATACAAAATGTGGGAATTACCACTTTTACCTTGATTGATACAAAATGTGGGAATTACCACTTTTATCTTGATTGATACAAAATGTGGGAATTACCACTTTTATCTTGATTGATACAAAATGTGGGAACAATAATTTCTTATTTTGCATTTCAACTATTTTATGGTTAGAAAATTTACTTCACCTAATACTTGCAGTTGGAATATTGGTTAAAATATCAATTTAAAAAAAAATAATAGTGAATAGATATTGTTGAAAACTAAATTAATTAACAGAAATTGTTTTTTCACATAAATAATACAGACAGAATTAAGTTTTGCAAAAATTGCAAGCCTAAAAATAAAAAGCAGTTTACCCTGAAAGTTAGTGAACGTGGATAGTCTAAAGGATGTTATGTAAATGGTGGAATCTGCTGTCATAATCTATTATTTACAATCACAGTAAATTACATTATTACAATTTTTTTTTCTTTCTTTGTAAGCATCAACTTAAATTTTACCTGTACTATTTTAAAAATTGATGAAGAACAAACAGATATGATACAGTGATCAAAGTTCTGAACAGAAATACTGAGTGTATTTGTTTTAACATGCAAAAGAATCCCTGAATTATTGAAAACTTTACGCAAAAAACAAAACTTATTTTATTTCTCCCTTGCTGACTCTATATGGATAGAAACTTTACTATAAAACTTAGCCATGGTTATGTTGATTTCATAAGATAAAGTTCATATTCAAAAGGTAATAAAATAAGATTGGTATAAAATAAGATTGAGTTGATATTTTGGCTGGTTCTAAGCAATCATCAGTGCCAGTACGAGTTTAAATTTTCCTTTAAAAGCTTTCTTCAATAAATTATAAGGCAGAGTGTTAAACTAACCCTGCTTGCAAGCCATTGGGTATTATTTCAATCTTTCAGCTTAAGCTCAAGAGTGTTAAGAGTGTATGTAAGGTAGGTACAATTTAACCAAGTTGTCTTTCTTTCGCTTATCAATGTTTTCCACCCTCTCTTCCAGTACAAAGTGGGCATAATTCCTCCTTTGCCTAACGACCCTTGGCGTCAGCAGTTTCTCATAGTCGACAGGCACTCGAGGTTCTGATGGTGTTGACCCGGGTTTTACCTTGACCTTTGACTTTGGGGATGAGCTTGGTCGGCCATATTTATCTAAAGTTTCTTTGGCCTGCATCATGATTACAAAAAATGATAATGATATAATGATTGTATTCATTACTTTACCAGAGTCTATACATTCTACTTGGGGACTGAGTAAATGTGGCTTACTGGTCAAGACTTCTGTTTTGAACAATTTCGAATCCATCCATGAATTGTTTAAGCTATTGTAAATAAATTATTTCTTTCTGATTTGCCTGTCCAAAATAACTTTTTATTTTTAAAACAAATTATTTTTTTTACATAGAAGGACTCATTGACAGCATATTGGTTCAAGTGACTAACTGAAGTGTACTGATTTCATGGAGTAAGTACATCTTGAAAATACAAATGTCTAAAATAAATTTGCTAAATACAAACGAAGATTGTCTCAAATCAAAATAAACACAGTGGACATTACACAGAAATACTAATTAAATATCGCTTTAAGTAATATTTAAAAATCATTTAAAGTAATGTTTTCGGGTTAAAGATAAGTTAATGAAATACAGCTTTATATCCTGATGATGAAAGAAACAAATTACAATAGCCAGAACTCACCAGCTTATCCTTGAGTTGCATATTTAGATAGAAAAGTTGTGATGTTTAGCATTATTTCACATATAATAGATTGTTAAAAATGATTATGTAGTTTTTAAAATCCGATTCACAATAGTTGCATAACTGCTATTATAATATGATATTATCCGGGGATAATAGTTCCTTACCTGGGCTGTCACTGTTGTGTGATGCCAAGTTTTGGCTTTCTCTAAATGGCCAAGATATTCTTCACTCAAGTTGGTAGCACTAAACAGTGACACAAGAGAATGAAAACATAAAACAGTGAAAGATAAGATGAGATAGATTGTTTTATTGATCAAAAAAAAATATATAAATGTTTTTGATTACATAATGCACATACATTTTCAGCACATAAATAAATGCATATTTTAATAAAGTCAACATTTTCCAATTAAAACAATTTAAACACACGACATCTACATTAAATTATTTCTCTAGTGTAAAAGAACAGCCAATCAGTGAAAGAATGAAAGAAAAATATGTTTTACTAGATATCTTTATGCATGTTTTTTCAAATTTGTGTGCTCTAGGAAATTTATAACCAGTAAAATAATTAAAAGTTTTTGTTAAGATAAAATTTAAATAAATATAACTGCATTGATGTTCATTCAAATGTTAATTTTTTTTGCTATTAACTTTTGCAATCAGCTAATAGAAAACATTTTGTTCTTGTTTTGTTCTAATGATACTCAATCACATAGAATTCACTGTTAAAGTGTCTGTTACAATCACACAGACTTCATCAGTATATAATTACGGTCAAGTATAAGAAGCTAATGACATAAAACATAACACATGTACATTTTTTACCTCCTGGCTAGTTTGATCTTTTCCTGCATTTCATCTTTTTGCTCTATGACGGACAGCCACGGGGAACTCATTCTCAACTGTGGTAATATAATAGGTGCAGTTATAGTGCTGGATCGGAGTATGTTTGTTGTACTGTACTGAACAAGTCGAGGTGTTTGTTATACAGGTACTGAACAAGTCGCGGTGTTTGCTATACAGGTACTGGACAAGTCAAGGTGTTTGCTATACAGGTTCTGAACTAGTCAAGGTGTTTGCTATACAGGTACTGAACAAGTCAATGTGTTTGTTATACAGGTACTGAACAAGTCAATGTGTTTGCTATACAGGTACTGAACAAGTCAAGGTGTTTGTTATACAGGTACTGAACAAGTCAAGGTGTTTGTTATACAGGTACTGAACAAGTCGAGATGTTTGTTATTTCAACCTACACTGCCAACTTACCTGATTTCTTGGGAGCAACAAGGGCATCAATGAAGGCAATTTTGGACACTCTATGACTGGGTCCTATATATGTCAAAGTAGACAGTTAATGTTAATTGATTTTTAATGACAAGTCAATTTAAACAAAATTAATATTCCAAATTAATTAAAATTACTTTACACAAGGTTATCTATAAATACAGTGAGTACAATCAATGAAAGAAAAGTCCATACAGCCACCACCCCCAAAGTCAGAGTTCTATGCTCTGGGTCTGCCGTAAGAATTAACATTAGAAAAATGTTGTTGCAATTTTATTGACATTCTCATACTATGAATTCAATTAATGTTACGTTCTTTAGATGGAAACTTCCAGAAGTGGAAGATTTAGGGGTTAAAACAACTGATACCAGAATTTTAATATACAAAACTAAGTATTATTTAAAGACATAAGATGTAATTTTTACAATTTAAATCAGAAAACGTTAACACAAAAGAAATACAACATCAGAAATTGGTAACCTACCAAAGTGTTATTTTAAAAGTTAACAATTATAAATAAATTTTTTAATGAAAATTTACTACTTTTGGATTATAATAATAATAATAACAATAACAAAATCAGAACCTAAAAGTTAATGTGTACAACAATTCTTATAATTAACCTAAAAGGTTATACAAGGAGTAAAAACTTTATGGCTCAAAAAAATGAAAGAAAATGTCATATTTTGATAAAATTTTAAATCTCACAAAGTTAAACTATGATAATCTTAAAGACAAAGTTAAAAAAAAAAAATTATAATTTAAACACTTACTCTGGCTTTATTGGAGTGACCCAATAAATTGACATCAAGTTTGAACAGTAACACTGGACTTTTGTAACAGCTGAATGAAAGCAGAAGCTGTAACATAGCAACCAACAGTTGCCTGGGGGGGAGAACAAAGATTTTTTAAAATTTAGCATTTAAATAGTGGAATACACTGCAGTAACAAATTAAAAATATACTAAATTTTACTCATAGTGGCTTTTTTTGTGGAGTTCAAACAAATTTAAAACTGTAATCTATTGAGCTGGATATGTTGGTGAGGGAAAATGACAGATGTACATTTTCAAGTAAAAAAATTTGATATGAAGCTGAATGGTTATGATTCAAAGAAGTTTCTTGCCAAATACCTAAAGAAAATGACACAGATTTCAAAAGGTGAATGGAGATGAAAGAAAGGTAATTTAGGAAACTCACTTGTGCATGCCCACCATGTTGAATGACAGGAGCAGGCCAACCTGATGAAAACCAGTAGTGGTCAACAAAGCCTTTGTCCTAGTGTTGTGCCAGAGTGGGTGGACACTAAAGTCTGTCACCCTCAGTTGAATATCTGAAGCGTGTTTAGTGATGGTCAGCTGGAAAAGCAAATATGTTCATGAGTTAGGGATATCAGTGCAACAATCAGAGTGGAATGCTAAATAAAAGTGATGAAATCACTCCGGTAGTACTATATAAAACATATTCAGATGAATGAAAACTAGTTTTATATAATACTCACCAAATCAATGAGGATGGATATTTTGTCTTGTGACAATGGAAGGGTTTCACATATGGCAGTGACACAGGCAGGGCTACATGTTAATTCTAAAGGAAAAAAAATAAACTATGTTAAATTTTTAAAATTCAGCCACTAAACATGCATAAAAAAAAATCATAATAAGAATGTTATAACAGGGGTCATGAAATTTGTTTAAAGATTTCAATGAAAAAACACTAAACACTAGCCAAAATGATTTTCTATAGAAATTAGAAATTATAAAAAAAAAAAAATATTCAGAAGATGAATAAGCGAAGGAGGTACATGCAAGACCTTTTTTTTTTAAAAACAAAAAAAAAAAAAAAAAAAAAAAAAAAAAAAAAAAAAAAAAAAAAAAAAAAAAAATAAACAAAAAAAAAAAAAGAAAAGGAGGTAAATGAAAGAACTTTTTTTTTTTTTTACTGTAGTTTTGATCTATCAAATTTAAAACATCATAGGTCAACCAAAGTGAAACTCTGTATTGCATCACATAAGTGTATGATAAATTATTCAGTTTAATTAAACAATTGTTAAAAAGAATTTGATCTAACATTAAAATCGTAATAACAAATTAATGTACCTAAATGGTAATTATTTAATCCCATAACATAAATCTCAAATCTCTGTCACTCTATCATCACTGAATTATTTTAATTTCTTAATTTTCAATAATTGTTAACAAACTCTCTTTGACTGATCAGAATTCAAGCATTTACAAGTGGAAACTGTATTTAAACATAGTCTGAACAATGATTTATATTTAGCTGAAAAGGATGGCCATATCAACAGATTAATGCTGTACCGGACAAGGCTTAGTACTAATTTGATCAGGACAATTTTTTTGCTAGAACTAGAGACCGCCTTTTGTTTTTTTATAGTTCACCTCTCTATCTTTTAAATGTAATTTTATTCTGATATAGGAATAGAAAAATGAGCTAGAATATTTGAGAAAATGGAAAAAGTGATAACATCTTTTCTACTGTACATAGACTACCAACCACTGGCTGCCTTGAGGGCGTCATATGTAGGTATGAGCAGGTGGTCAGTGTTCCAGTGAGGGAATATGATGTAAGGGTTGGTCAGTTTGGCTTCCTTGGCCTGAAAGTGAAAGCCCAGCCACTTGAGTAGATTCATAGCCTGGTGGTTTTTGGCAAGCAGTTCAGTGAGCTGACATGGCAGCTTGGTGCTGTCCATAGTGTGTAACCTTTTCAAGGCAGTGTCTAGCTTTGATAGGATAGAGCAACATTGGTTCAGCTTCTTGTAAATGTAATGTTTAAATATATAATTACTACAATATTTAAAAATATATTTATATAAATTTTGTTTAAAAAAAATAATTTTGAATAATTTATGTGAATAGCAATTTTTTTTAATCAGACAGACTCTAGGAGGTCCTTAAAGTTTTTTCAAATGGAGAGTGTGGTTAAAAATTTATATTTTGAAATAAGTTTTTCAAAATCTTTAAAACAAAAAAAAATTCATTTTAAATCAATAGGACCATAAATGCAACATCATAATAACATAGGTTAGTAGATTTTTACCAGGTCAAAAAGTTCAGGAATGACTTGAGGGTTTTTGTAGTGATTTCTCAGGAGATTTTTAAGGTGTAGCTGCAGCATCGCCAAGTTTTCTTCTTTGCTACCAACTATTGATTAAAAAAAAAAAAAAGATAAAAGAGAATAATAAATGAGTTAAATTAATCTGTGTTCCCAGTACTGAGTGATGCAGCACAGAGAATTATGTCATTAAGTCAACAACTGACAATAAAATTAAACAATAAAATAAACAAAGGGGAATGACTCCTGCACAAAAATTGAATAAACACGCAAATGACGTCATGGGCATGATTCTCAACAATAGCTAGCATAAGAAATAAAAACAACATTGACCTACAATTAGGTATAGAGGACTTTGGGTTAAGAATTGGAACTGCTGAGCTCTCCTCTGTCTCTGCCTCACACTTGTCAATCAGTTGATCTAACTGGGCATGCCTTACATCACTGAGGCTCATTTTTGTGTCTTTCCCAACCAACATGAAACCAGACCAGTGGCAAACATGACTCCATCTTGAAAAGTAAAAATCATTCTACACAAATATGTAAATAAAATGAACAGACCCTTTAAACCCTTAATATACTAAAGAAGGTGATTTCTTTTGCCATTCAGGTGTAGCAGCAGCTGGTTTATTTCTGTTTTTTATGTGTCCTGCACCAGCTTCAGATACTTATTAAATATTAATCATATTCCAATAATAATTCCAATAATATTCTCCTTCAAAAAAAAATAGTTAACAAAATTAATTTTAAAAATGTACATTTTTATGTGGAAGAATCTATTGATTTTTTTGACTATCTTTTCTAGAAAAAAATAAACATCAAATATTTTATATTTGAATCATTTTATTATAGATTCAGAAGCAATTTTTTAGTACTTTTCCCGCATGAAACAGTGGAGAAAGTACAAAAAGACATGGGGTCCTCTGCAGATCCCAGCTTGGTAAAAAAAAAAGTTGCTGAACTATGGTTGGAATATTAAGGGTTAACTTTTTTTTTATATTTAAGATACTTCCTTTAACATAAAGCATTAGCATTTTAAAAATGAAAAAAATTAAGGCAACAAAAATAATAGTTAAATACTGATAAATAAATAAAGCCATCAAAATGGAAGGCTCCTTACCTGTTATCTTCCCTAATGGCCTTGATCCCACTGCTCAAAGCCTTGGACACAAACTCTGAATTCTGCAATGTGTGGTAGAAATGGACCAAAAATTTACACAGCACTTCATCCGGGACAGGCCACTTGCAAACAAGAACACACTCTGCGCCTGAAGTAAAAGCATTTATCTTTTTTTTTTAAAAAGTCTTAAAATTTATAAAGTGATCCTGAATATAAAAAGTGAGTGGCAGACCTAACTGGATGTGTGCTGCCACCTGCATGTCTCTCCTATTGCATTTCAGAATATATTTCAATATATAAAGGATATTTATTATATAAATACAAACTTGTTCACTTTTTATTGATCATCCGAAAACAAAAGCCATAGTTTAATATGATTCTTATTCTGTGTATTTAACATATTCACCATAAAAGATGACATACATCCAAATCCTAATTTCAGGGCTGGACGGAGCCAGTGATTTCCTCATTTGTACAGGAGCTTTCACTCAAAAAAAAAAAAAGCCTAAGACTTTTAAGAGACCTTTTTGTTTTACCATGGGAGGTGACGCAATGGGCTGTTGCTATAGCAACCAATAAATTAAGAGAAATTTTCATCATAACATTTATGTTTAGGACTTGAATGATTGAAAAACAGAAAGGCGACTTCCAAGTATTATGTCTTCAACCTCAAGAATAAAACTACTGTAACAGTAGTTAAGTACTTAAAAAAAATTTGCTGAGGGTCAGTCAAATCACTTTCATGAAAAATATAAATGATTCTTGTGTCTCTCCAACAGTACTAATATCATCATTGAAGTGTTTAAAAAATGTATCGGTACCTCTAGCTTGAAGATTACAACTACAATAACTGATTGAAAAAATATATAAATAAAAGGAGGGACCTGCAGATAGGAAAGAGCCGGCCAGTTTCATGGGGCATTCTTGCTCTGCCCTGGCAGGTGAGAGGCCGCAAGTTGACAAAACTACCAGCTTGGCACGAAGTCTCACATTTAGGATATCTGAGATGGTCACTAAATGTGATGTGTCATCCTCTTTATCTGTCAAAGGTTCAGGTGTGACCAGGAGTAGGCCATCCCGCATGCAGGCCCAGGTTCCTAGAACATGGCATACAGTGTCAGACTTTAAAATGTCAAAAATAACTTGGTAATCAAGGATGGCTAATTAAAACTCAATACAAAATGCTGAAACAGAAGTCTGCGTCCTATGAAATATTTGTGTTAATTTGTTTCATTTATTATTTATTTTTCTTGTCCAGAGACATTGAGAATAATTGTAAATATGCTAAGCAAACTATAAATCAAACATTCAAATTTAAAAAAATCAACTGATTGCTGACAGAACTACCCTCTCCACACCACCACAAAAAAAAATCAATATTGTGGTCAGTTACCAATGTGAATGACCTCAGCTGTTTCCAGGCTGGTCAGCAGCTCCTGTCTTGTGGCCTGCTCCCCAAGAATGGGGTCAGTGCCCAAACACTGGGACACTAACATTAGCTCTGATTGTGCCTTAATCAAGTCAGGCTTTGGCCTCCATTCCTTGTCATGAATTTTAATTCTGAAATAATAATTACATTTTTTTTTTAAATCCTCAGAATTTTCGAGTATACTAACAATAAAATTATTTTAAATTTTCTGAGTGCAAAATATATTTATATCTAGGGACTTCCAAGAAAGGTAAAATGGTTGTCAGCACTTTCCTGTTCAAAAAAAAAAAAAAAAAAAAAAAAGGTAAAATGGTTGTCAACACTTTCCTGTTCAAAAAAAAAAAAAAAAAAAGCATCAGTCACATATAATGTAGCAGTGTCAAGGTCATAATAAGTATCCTCACCCTTGAGTGATCCATGGGCATCCAAATACCAGAGCTGTGCGTGGATCGCTTATCTGTTGAAACTGGGGTATGACCTGAGAGGATGAGGTGACATCTGTGTGTGTCCATGTCTCAGCACACAGTGTTGAGTATGTGTGAGTAGCCAACATTTTCTCCACAACTGATGGATGATCTAGAAGGATAACAAAATGTTAACTGCATTGGGTTGTGCCATATTCAATTTAGCACTCCCCCTCCCCCACATCTATTCTACTTACCCAAAAAACTTTGTGTGCAGTGCAATATTTAATTTTAAATACCCCCCCTCCCCCCAACCTGTTCTAATTGCCCTAAAACTATTTCTATGAGCATCAAAGGGACAAAGGGAGAAAAAAAAATGTTCAGTAAACTCATGGTAACCATGTTTCTTGCTAATCTTGACCTATGACCTTAAATTGGCCTTTGACCCTATGTTAAGAGCCACTCATGTAAATGCAATATTATTATGAAAGTTACTGATGCTAAAAATGAGATAAATTAAAACAATACAGCAGACAGTGATTAAGGATGACTGTATGAGTGATGCTTTCCTCATTGCCAAGTATTGTTGATGGCTAACGCTGTAAAATTTCTAGACTGCCGAGTCTGTTATTATGAACTGTTATTTTTTCTAGACTGCTGAGTCTGTTATTATGAAATATATTTCCCTTGAATTTGGAAAATTGTGTGAATTTCTATTAATATAAGATAAGATTATTATGTGATCCAAATCAACTGAAATGTTTTTTGACTACATTATACATATTCATTTTCAGCGACAAAATATATGCATATTTTTAACCAAGATTTTACATGTAAAATTATCTTATCTTGATAGCAGTATAGGTAGTCATATAATCATATCGATAGCAATATGGTCAGCAGTAGAAATAGCAATATGGATTGAAATTTTAAAAAAATAGAGCTAATCAAGACATGGCAGGTGTAGAAAATTTGTAATTATTTTTCAAAGCAAAATTCATTCATTCAATACATGGGTTTAATTATTAATATAAAACTTAATTAAATGGAATTAGAACATGCACCTGTATGGTTATTAAAATACTTTGATACCTGATAGAAGATTCGGGGCCATTACTCCTGACTTCTCTGCTCGTGGTGAATGACTTCTTGATCTAGACTCGGATGTCTGGCTACGACCAGGTAACTCTAACCTAGTTTTGTCCATGTTAATTGATTTTTGAACTGGTGAGACATGAGTCCTATAGCTTACAAGCCGAGGATTAGAAACTTCTTTTAAGTTAATGGACTGCCTCTGATATTTTTTTGTGCTGTCACCTGAAAATAATTTTTAATTCATAATGACCTTAGAATACCTATTAAGTTGGTCATTAAAAACATTTAATTTAAATAGCATTCTTTAATGTTTATATTAACAACTATTCCTGAATTTTGGAAAACAAGGCATTCCATATTTTTATATGAGGTTATAAAAAATTCATCACAGTGATAAAAATTAATTGCTTAGTTTTGAATATTCTAGTCTCAGAATATTTTTTCCACAAATACCAAATTGATTATTATTTTTTTAAGCCATAATTTCATAATTTAATTGTGAAATTATGGCATAACAAAATAATAATCAATTGTCAATTCAGAAGAAACATGATAAAAACCAAAATTCTAATGCTCAACTTACTTGTATCATCAGCTGAGTCGGGATCAGGATTTGCATTATGGAGATGAAAATTTCCAGGAAGTTCACTAAGATACTGGGCAACTCCACCCCCACATGCTTGTTTCCTTTTGACATTAAGTGCATCTTCAGCACTTAGGGAGCTGAGCTCATTTTGGATAACTCTGTCTAAAAGCAACAGGCAAGAGATATAACTGATGCTAAACCTGTAGGAAGGAAATATAGGGAAAAACTGTGTTTAATTTCACGGAAACTAGATTACTCGTTACATTTATAAAATCAACTGTATATTAAAGACACATTTAAAATTATTATTACAATCTAATTTGCTAAGAAAGTTATAAAATATAAGTTATAAATGAGCTGTAGGATAAATGAAGAGTTAAAGTTGGTAAAAATATTTATTCCAAAATTATTAGATAGGCCTACAATTGAAATTGAAGCTTTTACTGTATGATCCCAAACAGAAAAAACACAACATTTAAAGTTAAACTAAAAATCATAAAGTAACTATCGGCGAATATCTCATATATTACACTGTTTATTTTTTTCAATTAATAAAATAACCAAGCTAAATGAAAATATTTCTGATGTAGAGAAACAACTTTGAAAGTTAAGAGATGAATAAAATTCAACAGTCTTTGTTACCTTTCATACAAATTTTTGTCCTGGTGGTCCAGCAAAGCCCCAAAGGGACAGAAGTTTAAAATCTTGTCAGGCACAATAACAAGATGGCTGCCTTGCTTAAGATTTTCTAAAATATCTGAGACAGGTGAAATTAAAATTTCATAGAGCTGGCGAAGTGCAGGTTTCCTGGTTATTTTTTCTTGATCATTGAGACAAGTTGTGGTTTCTGCACCGGTTGAGCTACTTTCATTTAATATTTTTGTAAAGTCACAACTGCTATCATTACCAGTTTTTTTACTGTTGAGACTTTCTTCACTAAGTGCATTTGTACCTCTTGCACTGTCATTTGGAGTTTGAGTTATGGTTGAATTCATATGCTCACTTTCAGTGCTTTTATATTTTGTCTGTAATATAGAAATATTAAAATAAATAAGGTAAATATAAAAATGTTTTATAGTTCATCATGGCCTCATATAATTTATCTTCTTTCCTTCCTGTCAATGAAATAAATTGAAGCTGATATAGGCCGATGGTAAAATATAACAAAAATATTTTAAAAAATGCAACATATTTTCATTCCATTCAAACTGAGACAATCTTCAAGACCTAACAAAAGATAAAAATTCACAAGGCTGAAAAGGCGTTGCTTAATTTTCTCTACATAAAAATTCCACGGAATTATATGATATTTTGATGGAGTTTATTATTCCACGTAGGTGCTTTAGATACATGATTAACATAATTCACTTAAAAATTCTATAATAAAATTTTAAATATATTTTTTAAATTTAATGTTAAGAAGATTTAAAAAAAAAACCCAACCAACTTTTGACTCATAATGTTTCATATTGTTTAATCTCAAATTTTGAATTTCTGCATCTCTAAGTGGCAGAGCTCTGGCCTCTGATGTTGTTAATAGCTCTGATGTATCCCAGTCAGCCCTCATGTCTGACAGTAGTTTTGTTATCTGATGATAAAGATTCATATCTGTATTACAATATTGAAATCTATACTCTAAAAGGAAATGGAATAATGTATGTAAGTATGTATGTATTTTGAAGGTTGGTTCTTATTTAAAATGCAGATCCAAAAAAGATTTTCATCTCTCCTAGGTTAAATCCCTTTATAAAAAAAACATATTACTGAGCTTTTGCCGGTCAAGGTGAACCAACAGACCACTGAGATTTGCACGTTCTTCTTCATTTAAAAAAAAAATCATATTTATACAAGTAAAGCCAAATTAATTAATGTCTTTTTCGTTTATAATGAGACTCATCCATTCTCCACTGAAAATGGTACTTTGATACCACAGATGCACCCAAAAAATAAATACAAAAGTTTATTAAAAAAATATTTAGAGTGAGAGAGCTGGCCAGAGGTCTAATGAGCTGGAGAGAATAGAATAGCTGAGAACAGAGATAAATAAAAATAATTTGTGAATAACCTAAGCACCATTGGAGCAAATATGACTTAGTAGAAGAAGCTGTAGCAGTTGACAAGACATTTTTACAGTGGTATTAGTTAGGATTGTGCTGTCTCAAAGCATTTCTGTTCACAAACTCAGGTCTACTGGCTCATTGAAACTTTGGTGAGCGGATGTAATCCACTTACTTGCTGAGTAAAAGTGTGTGCAGTGGATGCCTTGGTGGAGTAAAATCTGACCACACCCTCACCAGGGGCCAGCACCCATATCAAAAGCTGATTTTCCAACAGGGAGTAGTAGAGAACCGTTGCATTTTGTGAGGAGACAATCCTTTTCATGTGGTCTGTGCCCCAAATCTATTTTTAAATCATAAGGAGACTTGTAGACTATTGACTTCAATGAAAGAGATTAATCTTAAAATAATTATCATACTAGATAATATTGTAAATGAAACTGTTTGAGCAACATAACTTTTTTCTCGTATCCGGAAATTTGATCGAAAGAATTTTCATTTATAACTTAAAAAGCTCACATTTGCTGTTGAAATAAGGTTGAAATTTACCTGATTGAAAAACTTCCATAATGACTTTGTCAATTTTAACTTTAAAAAAAACTTACCTCTCTGCTTGAATCTAAGCTGTGGTTGTCTGCTCGGCATGTCAGCTGGAAATTTGGGAGTGTGATCAAACTTCGCTTGCGGTGAGCCTCTGCATACTGTAAACATCCCAACTTATTAGACATTGCTGATAAAATTGTCTGCATGCCATCATAGCACTGAGTTAGTTGCTGTTCATAAAGTTCAGGGCAGTGAGAGTTCTCTTCCAAGTGTTGAACTATCTTTTTCTCTAAAAAAACAACTTTAATTAGCTTATGAATATTTTAATGTTAATGATATGTAACAGATGTTTCATTGATAGGGAATCGACATATCACACTGGCAAGTAACTGATACGTAACCCACAAGTAACTATATGTCCCTATTAATATTATGGTACCTGCTATGTAAGTGATTTGTTTATGGACTCCTGTTGAATCAATTTGCACAAAAGGGTCTTTTATGTAATTATGTGTTCTTAAAATAAAAGTACAGTTTCAAATATGTATACATTTGTTTCCCAAAAGCTAAGCTTGAGATCGCCCTCTAGTGTCTAACCAAACCCTCATTCATGGATTTGTTCTGTCTAGGTATTTCAACATCATTTCTTTAAAAATTAAATGATCTCACTAACTCATGTTAAATATTAGCAAATATTAGCACACTTCTATTGCTGCCCACAGATACTACTTACCAGCTAAGTGCTATTTCTTATTTTTATAACGTTTTTTCTGTTGTTTTGTTCGCTGACGAAGGCTTTCTGCTGACACGTTCGCTGTTTTGTTGCGTTTAATTTTTCAGGTTTAACCATACTCTGTTTTACTCATTTTATTTTGTACTAACCTGATTGCAGTCTCTCCCCTTATTACCCCCTTCATCAATGACTGAATGGATAACGCCTTAACAAAACACGTATACAGTACAGTAATTTATAAATGAATGACACAAACAATGCAATCAATTTATTAAAATATGGAATTATTTTTTTTAAATAGAAATTTGGCTGGATGTCGACTAATGTGGGCATGTCTTCAACTGTTTGTGGGCTTCCTCTCTTTATAAAAAAAAAATAAAAAATTAATTAAATAGCTTTTTTTGTTTGTAAATGTTATATTATTGGCTAATTAATTTTTTCGGTCGGTTAAATAGACTTTTCTCTCTATAATTTCAGCTTAGGTACATTCTATCTTGACTTTTGAACTTTGCAATAATTATAATAATAATTAAACATTAAATTAAAAATTAAAAGTAAATAAATTAAAAATGCGAAAATAAATCATAAATTATACACGTTTCCGCCACTTCCTAAAATTTCTATAAAAATAATAATAAATGGGAGGAAAGAGATAAACGCATGCTTTGATGTAAAGAGGGAAACTGTTTTGACTAGGCATTTACTTTACATTTAATTTTAAAACTATTTATCAAAGAACTCCTAAAATTCGAAAGGGATATAATTTTGAAACTAAATAAAATGGCCAATACAGACGACTTCAAGTTTGTGTCACACAAAAAGAATAGAAAGAAATTTAACAGCCATCTCAGGCCTCCGACAAGTAAACCGAAAGTTGACTTTGATGAAAGCAGAAATGAGAACTTTGATCTTCAAAGATTTTCAAAACAACTTAATGCTTGCATGTAAGCGTAAGAATGAAGTATTAATAATTTAGTTATAGTTATAACATATATCTGAATTAGTTAATATTCAATCACTATCTGAATGAATGAGTATGACTCCGCTCCTTGTCCTAGTCCAGTCTAAGCCTTAAACTTAAATCTTACTTTTTAAGGCTGGTTAAAACATACACTTTATAGGTGTACCTAGCAAAATCTTTGGCTGTGGCCTGCTACACCATGACCATAGCAGTATGTGCAGAAAAACCATGGTCTCAGCCAGTCTTTAAAACTTTGCCCTAGGGCCCTAGTCTAACACTACTAACAGGTACTTGTAAAATTAATGTTTATATTTATACTATACTATGCTCTTGTTAAAAGAAATATTTAAAACAAATTATCATAGAATAAAATTATCAAGAATAAACAAAAGTATGATTTTGTATTTTTATTATTATTATGCGCAGGGCTTTAGTCCTGCAGCAACGCATGTTATGCCGAATGACGTTACTGTAACTGTAATAATTTTTTGCCGTCTGCTAAGAAATATATATTATTTTATAAGTATTGGGTAAGTTCCACACTTTTGTGGCAAGGTACTTCAAAGTACTTGTAAAGAGCAAAGCATTTCTTAGTATTTTATTGGTTGTATCTGGCCCTTTTGTAAGTATAACTATAACACATTTTATATCTTAACTTGTGGCGTACCCCCCAGAGGGAAGCAATTTGTAGATTATTGGCATAATAAGTTTTAAAAAATTATTTGACATTTATTGTTATTATTTATATTATACAGTGGTACCTCGTGCTACGAACTTAAATCATTCCAGAACTCGGTTCGTAACCCGAAACATTGAAATCAATGAAACAGACAATCCATTTCTGGATGAAAGAATCATTCTTTTTTATTAACATTGGTAGTTCACATGATGAAATGCAAAGAATGCGTGAACTTCACGTATTAAATAAATAGAAAGAAAACAACCAATTAAATTAAATGTAAAATAAAAAAGATTTTGTCTATGTTTCTTACCAAGAAAATAATCTTTGGAAATTGGTCCCTTTCTTTGCTATTCTGAATCATTAGTTTTAGGACTTTCTTGGCAGCCAACTGGGAATCTTTCTGCACCAAGAAACTATCGAGGAAAATGTAAACCTCCCTCCCTCTCTCTCCCTCTCTCTCACACACACCTTAGTTCATAACCTGAGGCACTGTTCATTATCCGAGACAAAATATTTTCAAAGCTTTTGCTCGTAACCCGAATTGTTCGTGACCTGAGGCGTTCGTAACCCAAAGTACCACTGTATTATGCATTCAAATTTATTTCTAAAGATTTACATATAAATAATATGAAAAATAATCTTGAATTATAATTGATGGGCAAAACTGGATTTGGTGCAAAAATGACTAATTTTTTTGTTATGGAGAAATCTACTTTTATTATATACGTGATATCTATACATTTTATACTAAATTTTTTTTTTAGGTTAGAGATTACAGAGTCTGATTTTTTTAGGGAATCCTTTCGTATGTATCTTTTTTAACTCTAACAATTAAAAAGATTTGACATTATAATAAATTACAATAAAATGCTACATACTTAAGCCTACTATAAATGTCCTGCGCTAGCGCTAGCCGGTTTGAATTTTTATCCCAGTTTGGTAAAATTTATCGTGCCCTGTCTATCTTAGATATAATCATACACATTATTAATATCGGAACATGGTTAGTGTCCAATTTCAAATTTCATTTATTTAAAAACTGTCATGTTTTAAGTTTGTATAAGTATAAGTCAGCATGAAGTTATTAATGAACAATTCCAGTAGTAAATGATAGGCCTCTTTCAATGAGGCCTGACCCAAAATAATGTTCTGCCTCCAGTCAGTAATCCTCTCATTACTATAAATAATTTCTCATTGCTAAGCTTGTCATAAATTCTGCTCCAAAAACATACATTTTTTAGAAAGTAGATTAAACTGAAGTGAGAAATAGGAAATTCTGAATGGTCCTGCTCTCTCCAAATACTCAATAAACACAATATGACTTTTAAAACTTTGGCTGATACCCAGCGTTGTTCCTTGACTAAATGCTACCTGGGGAACAGTCCACAAAAATTGCGCCCCTACACACAAATCTATTATATAATGTCGGTTATGTAATTAACATGGGCAGAAGTGCCACCCAGGGCATTGGTCCCCTTTGTCAATCTTGAGTATGTCACTGGTCCCCCACACACAAATCTATTATATAATGTCGGTTATGTAATTAACATGGGCAGAAGTGCCACCCAGGGCATTGGTCCCCTTTGTCAATCTTGAGTATGTCACTGGTCCCCCACACACAAATCTATTATATAATGTCGGTTATGTAATTAACATGGGCAGAAGTGCCACCCAGGGCTTTGGCCCCCTTTGTCAATCTTGAGTATGTCACTGGTCACCCACACACACATCTATTATATAATGTCGATACATCAATCAATTAACATGGGCAAAAGTGCTACCCTGGGAGATCATCCCCTTTTCAGTCCCGAGTATGTTACTGGTCCCGGTTTCAAGCCGTAAAATTATGGTTAGCCTATTCATGTTTATTATGCTCATATCAACTACTGGTAACTTTAAAATATGATAGTGACAGGAAAAGATATGTACAGAATTTTTCTGTGTGCAAATTGTAAGTCAAATCAAGTTTATACAATAAATATATAAATGAAGATATACTATTGCAATAAAAAAACAAACTATTATTGCATGCATGATGATGATGATTGAGTCCTTTTATAGTGCTTGTGTTTATGCTATGTTAGCATGCTCACAGTGCTCTAATTCTAATGTCCTAAAATCTATATAAAGAAAAAAAGTCTTTAGATTTAGATGGTTCTTTGATGACTTTTTATCATTTTCAATTTCCCTCAAAGATCGAGGCAAACTATTCAAATAATAAATTTTAAAAAATTGCTTAGCCTAGCCCGGGGGAGCCAAAGTGTCTGGCACTCATGGGTGTATATATGAAATAATAAATGATGTCTGCAATGTATGATGTTGGGGAAAAGGGGGGGGGGGGAGGGTGCACTTTTGAGATTTTGCCTCAGGCAGCATTTAGTCAAGGTAAGCAAGTTTATTGTTCTGTTTATGCTTAAATATTATTGTTTTGTTTTCAGATATTATAAGCGCTGCCCTTACAGATGTTATAAAAGCATATAATATAACCAATTTATCACGTATGTTCCGGTACATTTTAATACTTTTATTATGTACATTATCTTCTGATTATACTATAGTTAATGGAAGATAACTGCATTATGCAATTTTTTAAAAAAGATTTTGAAAATTAATGTTAATTATGACCTATTTATTGAATGGAAAGAATATTGTAACATTGCTAGCGAAATAACAGCTAAAAAAGAAGATATATTCAGTTCAGCTGAATTTTGAAAAATTTAGCCCCCACAATCAGTCATCAATGAGAGATGACCAACTGATATCCTCACACATATTTATCATAAAATCATTGACAGATAGCCAAGTTACCTCTCAGAGTGTTGAGGATGGCATCATTTCCCCTGTGGCCTCATCCAGTCTTGGAGGCCATCTAGGCTCATTAAGCCATGGAATAGCAACAACAGAATCAGGCATACACTTACTAAGCTATGGCGTTGGGAGTTTCAGCTCTTGCATGATCGCAAGATTTCAGATTGCTTTATTACTAAGCTTAAAAGAAAAGTTTGGTGTGAGTTTGAGATTTATTTATGGGATGATAATTTTCTCTCAGAGTTCAAGATGATTTGGCATGGTTTATTCTTTAAGGATGACCTTAACCAAAAGACACATGTGGCAAATGTGATCTGGAAATCAGTTGAGCTCAAAATGTTCATAAATAAATAATTTAAAAAAAAAATGCCTTTATAATGATATTGCTGAGTAAAGAAAGTAATTGTTCCAACAGAGACAGTGTACACAATGCTCAGTGTATGATCCCATCTTCTCAGACAATGAGAAGTCAGTTTTGGAGTCGTACAATTGTCAAGTGATTTCATTGAATGAGGTAAGGCCTTGCTTTTCAAATTTGTATACGTCTAATTCTAACCACACGACTTTCGATTTCTAAAAGTAAAAGGAAGTTCCTACTGCACTACCAAAATGACAAGACTCTGCACCTACAGCTGGTTATTTTGTGTCTTCATGATGCTTCATGCACAGTATACTGACTAATGCAGTTCCACCTCATCTACCCTCCTCATTCTTGTTGTACCCATGAGCCCCTTGTGTCGGTGGATATTTCATGCTTCACTTTTAACTCCATTGTCATCCTTTTGAGTCTGCCTTTTGTTAAGTGTTAACACTATGGTTGGGCCCTAAACAGCTGATGTATTTTTTGATTGGTGCCATCATGTTACTGTGTAAGTCCCGTATATTCTTTTCAGGATATTCTTATCCCTTAAACTAAGCAGATTTTCAGCTTTCTTGTTGAGGTATACATGACCAAAGTACTTTTCTTATTATTATGTGAGGCATACAGTTCTCCTTGAGGGGCTCCTGCTTCCTAGTATTTTCCATCTGTTAAGAGGCCCCTGCTTAACCTAGTGTCTTCCATCTGTTGAGAGGCTCCTGCTTAACCTAGTATCTTCCATCTGTTGAGAGGCTCCTGCTTCCTAGTATTTTGCATCTGTTGAGAGGCTCCTGCTTAACCTAGTGTCTTCCATCTGTTGAGAGGCTCCTGCTTAACCTAGTGTCTTCCATCTGTTGAGAGGCTCCTGCTTAACCTAGTATCTTCCATCTGTTGAGAGGCTCCTGCTTCCTAGTATTTTGCATCTGTTGAGAGGCTCCTGCTTAACCTAGTATCTTCCGTCTGTTGAGAGGCTCCTACTTCCTAGTATCTTCCATCTGTTGAGAGGCTCCTGCGGTTATCCATTCCTCATTGACCATCATTATTTCATAATACATGGATGTAAATATTAAATTTCAGCTATTCAAAATCTGTTTTTATATGAAACGGAACTTGTAAGGAATTACTATTTTGTGCTGAGTAAACACGTTTACTGTTGGAGTTTTTGAACCCTGATTTATTGTACATGTCCAGATTAATAGTTGAGAAATGCTGGGCTCTATTGATGAAAGATGTTTGTTTCAACTCTTGTAGGAAGGCTGCAGAGAATGCACAGCACCAACTGTTGCCTTTCTGCCCCACTGTGGCAAGGCTCTGTACAACAATTTACTGTGGAGGAACCTGACGACTCCTTCTAGTCAAGGATTACATCAGTTGGTGCTCATTGGAAACAGTTTCTCACAAATGATAGAGAGGTCAGTTGTTGTCAATGGTTACACTCTCCTAGTTCCACTTCATTCATTTTGTTTTAGTCTATCATTTCTTTGCACAAAGAAATATTTTAATTTCATTCCCTCTGCATTTTAATATTTTAGATGAATTTGTCAATTTATTTCATCATCAGTTAAATAATTTTCCTTTAATTCCCTTTACAAAAATTTATTTAAAAAAATTCTTTCATATATTTATATGTGATAAAAAGAGTGAAATAAAGTTTGAAGTATCTGCTATTCCAAATGCCATGTCATGATTGCTAACACAAGATAGTCTTATTTTCTCAACTCTTGTTGTTTTTCCCCCTCATGTAGAACCCCACTGACTATGCTGAAAAAGACAGGGAACTTTATAATACAAGTGAGTTCATTGGATTAGAAATCCACCCCTATATTTCCTAACATACTACTGGTTTGGTATGCTAAAAGAAGGCAGGCTCCACCTGTGTATAAACAAGTTAGTTTTTTTTGATTGCCTTATTATGTAATCTTGAATGTAAGTAACCCAAAGTTTCACTGAAAAATTTCTTTAAGATTAACAAATAATTATCATGTATGGTATTGTTTGACCTGAAATAAATCAATGAAATCCTCTAGATATTTGTACTGATAATGTGTATCTCTGTCTTTGCCCAGCTGCAACCGTACACAAGAGAAGTTGCCCTGCCCACAAGCTTTGTTCATAAAGATATATTTAATGACTTGGCAGTTCACACATTTTCTAAGCCTGATGACAACCAACAGTTACAAGACCTGATTGAGACGATGGAGAAACCTTCCTATGATACAAACGATGTGGAAATTATCACAAAACAAAATTAGTTGTATTTGTACAGCCATTGACCTACCCACTCATGTCTCACTGCTTACATAATTACTGTAAGACTTTCAGCTTTATGTTATTTCTGTAAGACTTTCAGCTCTGTGTGGTGAATGAAACTGTCAACAAATTTACATAATACTTGATAAGACTAAGAATGTCAAGTAACAAATGTAGCTAAGCAAGTTACATTCTTGGATGACACCTATATGCTGATTACATAACATAAATGATTTTGGCCAAATTTAATGACAGCTAAATGTTTATTGTCAGGTTTATTGTCAGCGAGTTCTCTCGTTTGTGTGGCTGGATGTTTTATTTAGACACCAATCAACTTAGTAGTACCCTATTTAAAAAATTTGAAATGAACCCAACAAAGGCAAATAGTGACATTTTATTCAGCAACCAACAAACATAGGGACACTCCAAAAGTTGAGTAGGTTATCACATCTCATCCTTATACAAGAAGTAGGCTGAAAGATTTGGCTTGTCACCCCCAAAATCATGTGCAATAAATAGAGGCAGCAAGATAGAGAGCAAGCAAACTAACCCACACAATTTTGATTATGAATGGAGAAAAAGGTTGCAATACATCTTTGTGTGTGCTATAGTTCAAATATTATATAATATAAATTATACATTAAAACAAATTTTTTTTCATTTTTGTTAGCCCCCTTTTTGTTAGTGGCTTTATTTATTACTGAATTTTGACATTTTAATGGCTGTAAAAATATAAAGATGTCATTGTTATTGTACAAACTGCAAGTCAGATTAAACCAATAATAGCCATTAAAATTAAATCTGTGTTGTAAATCCAGTAGTAGACACAAACTACAAGACTTAAACTGTAAACTACATTGTGTTCAGAGCAACTCAAAGAATTGATTTCATTCTTCAGTAAATGTTCATTGACTTAGTAAGAAGCATGCAGTATGACTTCACCCAATCACAGCTGTTCAAGTTCAAGCTATCCTATATAACACATGCAATAGAATGGACACATTTGTGCATCAAGTCATGTTGGTGATAGAAACCACAAAAATATACTGGTCAGAAGAAAAAATCATTTAGCTTTTTATGGAAGCATTCCTAGCAGTGGATTAATCTTGGATTTGAAATATGTTTTCACATTGTGATGGCTACACATCTCTGTTTATCTTATTGAAGAAAAAAACTCGTCTAACCCGAATGTCTGACACAAAGTAAAATTTCAGCACCAGTGATGCATTTTAATAACTGGTTGTAGACACAACATAAACATACTCATTTTAAGGGTTTCAAATTTTTATTCATTTATTTTGAAAATCGCATGTTTAAAAAAAAGCAAATCTTTTATAGTTTGCACATCTCAAACTAAACAATGGAAAAGTTTTTTTTGTGGTCTCTTTCACATTTCATCCTGTGGGAGCTAACAGATGCCATCACAACACAATATGTAGAGTGACGCAGCAACTATTGGCAGCCTTTTATATTAATGCGAGTTGGTACATGTTAGTATTAAATTAAATGTTTATATGCAAATTTCTCACCGGATGTAAAAGAAAATCTATACATAATACAATAAAACTTTTTGTAAACCCCATAGTTAAGACAAAAACTTGTTAAATATTGCCACTGACAATTTTTTTAAAAACTTAATTTTTTTGTTTCTTAGCAATGGACATAGTTTAATTTAGGTTAATACAAAAGGTTTAAAAGTGATATTTAGGTCGTCGATATGCCCCAAAGAATACTGGATAACAGACTGTAACAGCTTAAAAACAAGATACATTTTAATGACTTTTCAAAGATGACCATAATTTAAATTACGGTATATTTCTAAAATATAAAATTAAAATATTTTTTTAAAATTATAATTTATAAACATGCCAAAATGAATTGACGTCTAAGTAACATTTTAACTTATAAAATACGGTAATCAACACAAAGGATTCATGAGAGAAATGAAAGTCTAAAATCAATGATTGTAAAATCTATATGAGGAGTGAGGAGCAATCCACTGAACAATGTCAGTCAACCTCATGGTAGGTAGAGTCAAGAAATATTCATAGTTCCTAATAATATGTGTTAAGTAAAATTTCAAACTAAAAGTGCATGCGTGGGATTTAAAGAATAACTAAACAAGTTTCTCAACACAACAAAATAAAAGGTGCAATATAATTGGATAGATCCAATTAAAATTGTTTAGAAAAATTAATTAATTGACGAACCAAGGGCAACAACTTGTATACAACTATGGGATTGAGAAAAGTATGCTGGTTATCTGTGGTTCATCATACTGTGGCATTCAAAACAGGTGCTGAGCCAAGATCTTGATCACCTGACTTAGAAACAATGGGATTTTACCTCCAACATAAATGTATAAGTTCTGATCAACTTTATTAATATTGGTATTCAACTAAAGAATTACATTTTGTTAAAGTTTTTCATGACCTAATTTACCTGTGGCACTTGTGCTAGAAAGCAAATGATGTGTCTACCACAGTTCAGTATAATGTTGGAGTTCAGGAACCGCTGATGAACCCAGGAGTAAGGATGAAGAAGATGAATTTATTAAATGAAAACTTCACCAACGGGATGGGAACAGGGGGTTTGATGGTCACGCTCCAAGCAATAATATACACGTACCACGTACATGGGTTTACATTGTTCAAACTTAACTAGTCACTCAATTAACATTCTAAAATATAGACAAAACTCCAGGACAAATAAAAACTTTATTATCACCTAATTTAGAGACTTTCAACTCACTTGCAAAACTAAGTTTAAGTAGTAATAGCAGTAAAAGGACCTATTTCTCAAGAAGACTTTACTTCACCCAAGTAACAGAAACTGATCTAAGTGTTAGAATCCATTTCTCCATTATTAAATATACTCCAACTCATCTCACTTTCTTGTTTAAATGTTTCAAATGATTGTTGTTCTCAATTCATCTAGCTCAAGTCAAAATCATTTGTTTTAAAAATAAACCTCAAATTACAAAATTGCTTTGAACTTGATGAATTTATGATGCAATATAGGCGAGCTCAGATGTTTTCTTGGTCTGAAAAGAACTAAGTCAGAAATTTTCTTGTTCCCAATAAATTTTAATGGGCTGTTTAAAAATGTATTTTGGTTCCCATGCTACCTAACACTTCATTCACCTTCAGTTCTCGTGGCCTGACCTAGTGACCTAGTTAAAACAAAGTAAAAACAATATTGATCTTGACCTCCCCAAGCATTGCTTCATGATTATTAAAAAAATCTATTTAATAAAATACTTTGATTAAAAGACAAAAACGCCGCCAGTGATAGTGTCACCATCACCTAGGAACAGCCCAGTAGAAATGTCTTAGATAATCTAAAACTAATTTCTGTTTGCATAGACGCCATCATCCAGTGAGACACAACCTAGACAACTTTCTACATCCTGCTTAGACACAACCTAGACAGTTACAAGATCCTGCTAGACACAACCTAAGACATTTAAACATCCTGCTAGACACCCATTTCAGATAGCTTAACAACATCTTTCTAGACACAAGCTAGACACCATCACCATCCATTCAGACACAAGTGTCCATCACAGTTTCCAATTCATAGATTTCATTGTATGATGAATGTGTAAATCTGGGAGCTAATTACAACTATACAACCCTAGACCTCATGCCATGATCCCGTGCTCTGTCATCAGACTGTGCTTCCAATCATCCCTCAGCGTGTGCTCAAACAACGCAGCGCGGTTCTGGTTGTCCACTCGTTTGACCCAGTGTCTGTACATGCCGAAAGCACATGAATCGATGACCTTGCGCAGGACCTTGATACCATATGGGTTGTTGCGTACAGTGTCCATCGAGATCGGAGGAGGGTGCTTGTAGCTGAAGTTGAGTCGCAAGTAGAATACAACACAGAACACACCAGCCTGTGGTGACAAGAAGGAACACTCGTGTCAAGTAAATGAACATAGAGCGCACATTTAAACATTTACTATGAAGCTACCAATGACCATGCATTGAATACCATATTCCATAGAGTGTGATACTAACACGACACACCAATAAATATGGAATTCAGCTTCCTGACACAAGTGATCACATTTTGCTTTTTCAAATCAATAAACAACAAAAATCGGGCATCCCCTGAGGAGACTTATAGGATGGTATCATTTTGATATGTACCATATTGTCGTTCAGATACAAAAACCAAGGTTTTTGGTCAATTCTTACTGCAAGCTAAACTTGACCAATAGCTGAATAAATTAGTTTTAAGTTTGTTAAAATTAAATTAATTCAGTTTAAAACATTAAAAAGTATGTAAATAAAAATATAGTTCCATTGGTATCAGAGTTATTTCTGGCAGATAAATTAGGCAGACAGATTCAGTGAGTAAGTCAGACAGAGAGATGCAGTGAGTAAGTCAGACAGAAAGATTCAGTGAGTAAGTCAGACAGAAAGATTCAGTGAGTGAGTCAGACAGAGAGATTCAGTGATTAAGTCAGACAGAAAGATTCAGTGAGTAAGTCAGACTAAAGATTCAGTGAGTACGTCAGACAGAGAGATTCAGTGAGTTAGCCTGTCAGCTAGATCTCTAGACAGAGTTAAAACAATGTCCAATAATTTCAATGCTATTTTCCTATTATTAAATCTTGTCAAGGGTTAGGTTCTCAAATTTTTATCATCTACTCCTTCAGAGGACTTACCCTAAACTTTCGGCGTGCATCAAACCTCTTTTCTTCAGCAAACTGTTAGAATAAGACACAAATCTTTGGTTAGCCAAGCTCTGAGCATGAAAGCTTTCAAGTCATTGGTCTCACATTAAAGCACTGTCTGATTTCAGTGCTATGAATAATGATAAATGTAATGATCTTATTACACATGCAAACATGGTTATGTTTCTCCTTAGAATTTTGTTCAAAACTTATTCCTGCTTTTGAAAAACCTCGACCAGCCTTGCGGCCCATGTTACAAATCATTACGGCAAATGTTTCCTTTGAAGGCAAATCAATGTTACAAATCATTACGGCAAATGTTCCCTTTGAAGGCAAATCAATGTTACAAATCATTACGGCAAATGTTCCCTTTGAAGGCAAATCAATGTTACAAATCATTACGGCAAATGTTCCCTTTGAAGGCAAATCAATGTTACAAATCATTACGGCAAATGTTTCCTTTGAAGACAAGTCAATGTTACAAATCATTACGGCAAATGTTTCCTTTGAAGACAAGTCAATGTTACAAATCATTACGGCAAATGTTTCCTTTGAAGACAAGTCAATGTTACAAATCGTTACGGCGCATGTTTCATTTGAAGACAAGTCAATGTACTCAAATTACTGTTGTGAAAAAAAACTGTAAATCTAAAGCCTTTCTTACTTTGAAGGAAGACATACAAAAAAACATACAGGTACAGTGGTGTAGGAAGGG